GGGGGTTTTCGGGGTGCTGATCACGAATATCGTGTTAGTTTTGATCACATATGATGTCTTGAAGCATTTAGACCAGGTCGGGTCAGGTCAGGTCAGGTCAACCAGTAGGCGTCGTGACGGGTATTCGTAGTACGTGTTAACCGCCTCTGAGTTGACAGCTTCGTAACATGTTACGAAGTCACCAAAACTACTTCGTAAATGTTCAAATGGTTGCTAAATTCGAATTCAGCTCCAAAAACTAGCCTAGAAACATGTAAAACTCGAAAAAGTGACCCGAGGTCACCCGAGGTCACCAAAGGTCAATGACCTGACCTGACCTTCAGGTGACCTTGACACACACGGGAGTAACATCAAATCACATGTTTGAACGTTTGAAACCACGAAAAGCTTGCAAACACGCGGCTAGTGCGAGCCGACATACGCGAAATCGCGATTCCGGCCAAACATGGTCTCGGAAAAGAGGTCACAGGTCAAAGGTCATTTGGGTCAGGGTCATGAAATTTTCAGGGTAGGTGTAAAATTGATCAATGCGAGGGTACTGAAAGTTTCGTCGCGATCGGCCGCTTTTTACGCGAGTTATTCGCGAAAAACCATGGGATGGGGTCCATCCGACCCCCCCCCCCCTACACATGCGAGGGTTAAATATTCAGCTGAGCCCACAATGGTCTCGCATTTACGACCCACACAGAATCTCCAGCTCCGATCCGTCCCGTCCTCAGCCATATGCTGATTTCTTTTTATATCGTTATTAACGTGCGCAGCATAACGAAACTGGTCAAAAGTGAGCTTAACATTTTTCCGACAAACACGCTAAGACCATGACTTTCAAGTCAAGGAATGTTGACTCTCGGAGTCAATACGATTTCGGCGACTCCGTCTCCGACTCCATCTCCATCTCCATCCAGAACTGTCGACTCCGACCGACTCCAACTCCGCCACAGACTTCACAGCCCTGGTGACAACACAGTAGTGCTTTTCTGAACTATCACATGTGGCATAATATACGCCTGCTATAATACGAGTGCATAAGACAACAGACATCTAAGACAAGTCTGTAACAAACACGTTACAAGCATCTCAGAAAAAAGAAGAAAAAAATGGTCATGATGAACGAGGCACTCTCACGATGTCCAAATACGAAACAAGGGCGAAATAGAAAGCACAGAAGATCACACCACGATAAGTCGACTAGGTGTGTCATCAATCACCTATCGAGAGGGTGATTTGTTTGTTTGTTGGGGGTTAGGGGCGCGCCGACGGCGAGGTCATTTTGCGCCCATTCGAGAGGGTGATTGTATGGGTTGGTACAATCACCCACACATTGATTGATGGTTACCTCAAACTGACGGTCTACCTCAGCTCCCTGGGACAACACTGGACACTGACACTGGATGTAACTGGACACGGAGCGACCCACACAGTACGAGCCCGCCGGCGGCACCGGACGTTCGTGCGGCCGTGCGAGCACAACCGCATCAGATCATGCTTACCTGGCAAACGTGCCGCTCGAACCAGAGCGGAAACACCCGTGACATTGCATACAGCGATGGCAATTAGGGAGGGTACAAATCATCTACCGATGTCAAAATCAACCACAGCATGTCCAATTTGAGGAAATTTTCGCCGAATCATGTTATGCTGCGCGTTCTTTGTAGTTTGTCTACATACGTCCGCACGTCTGCCATACAGCATGTTCACTTAGTTTTTCACTAGGATCTAGACAGAAAAGTAGAAACCACAAGCGAGCCTTGCAAATTGCTTCCTACGCTCTAAGAAACGGTTCATAAAACCGAGTCGCTTGAAAAATAAAAACAATTTGTCAAAGAGATATGAAATAAGAACTGGCATATCTTCTGCCGTTTTTTTTTTTAAATACTAAATTGAAATATACATAAATGCATCATTTGTGCACACTTGGTACACTATTAGTGTGGAACTTTGTATCTGATTTCTCACCGAGGGCTTACATGTAATTTAAAGTTTATCGAGACAATCCCTGAACAGATACTGATGCCGGTGGCTGAGAAACCCCACGAAGACACAGCCATCTGCTAGTGGACTTTCCACGAGGACGGTGGAACCCCGAACCAGCCACACATCGCGCTTCGTCTTACGGAGAGGCTGAGAAATCTGCCCACTATCCGGTGGACGTTTTTCCGTGACCAAGGATCAGTAGCTCCGACCTTGGCAGTTCCGATCATCGTCAGACTTGAATCCCATCAAACGCATGCTTTAGTCTATTCTCGAGAAATGAGTTTGCTACAAGCCACACAAGAAAATAAACGATTTCATGCGAGGTCACATCAAAGCATAAGACCCTTATCTCGCGCTGCTCTGCGCGTGTCGACATCGGATACTGAGACAGGTCGGCTACTGGCCTGGCTTCTTCTGTGAAAGCTAGCAGCGGCTGGTGATGCCCACCAAGGACAGCGTCGAACTCTAAGAGGCCAGAGTGGGTCTGAGATATCTGTGTGGGAGCTCATGGAGGCTGGTTTTGAGACCTCAAGATCCTGTGTGCAGTGTGCACCCCTTTGTTGTGGTCCTCAGAATGGGCGTGGGTCACTCAAGGGCTGATTTTGGGCCCACCGAGGCCTGCATGAGAGCCCTCAGAGGCTGGCGTGGGTCATCAATAACTCTTGTGAGGAGTTAAGGCCTTAGGAGGTCGATATCAGACCAGACCCTTAGACACCAGCCAAACGTGAGGACCTAAGAAGCTTTGATCGAGCCTCAGGTCCTGCACTGCAAAACGTCAGGCCGCCAGAAGTTATTTTGGTCCTTTTGTCGCCCTCATATGCTGGTTTTTGGGCCCAGGAGCCCAGCTGGGCCTCAAGAGGGTAGAATGAGGCCCTTAGAGATTGATAAAGACCATAAGAAGCCTGCATATAGGGCTCTCAAAGCTCTGCAAAAGCCTTCAGAGACCTGGGGAGGGGGATTCTTAGTTACCTCACAGTAAACATGGGTTCCTCAGACGTCAGCTAAGGTCTCTGGAAGTGGAGACCAATAAAGATTGGTATGGTAGCCCTTAGAAACCAGTGCCAAATCCCTACCAGCTAGCTCAGAGTGGCCACTCAGGAGGTTTCATTGAACCACCAGGAGCTAAAGTGGGTCCTAAGAGACTAGCATTGGCCCTAAAAGGCTAAAATGTTCCTTCAGAGCTTCAGAGCTGGGCCCTGTAACATCCCCTAGTGAGTAAAGACAAATCACACAAGTGGGCAATGAACATCCTTCTAAGAGTTTATTAGAAGCTTGCTATCATGATTCATCTGCTGAGAGTGTGACAAAGCAACTCAGCTGACCAGTAATCTGGAGGCTAATGGTGCTACTGTTTTTGCCAATATGACCATTGCAACACCTTAGCTTATCAACATACAAATAGTCCATTGTGGTAAGTCACATATCTTAGTTCACATCACACATCAATCACATGTCACATCAAATCACTTCCTCAAGTCACATTTTATAACTCACCCTCATGGTGTATTTTCAAACGTTCACTTCATCAGAATATATTGATTGCCTGTGGAAATCAGAAATTAAATCAGTTGAATACTTCATCAAAGAAGCATGGACATTCATAAGAAAATAAATTAAACTTGATTGACAGAGCTGGAGCCCACTCTGAGCATGGCTTCTGCTGGCATAGGCTCTGGCCCCCACAGTCCACCAGCACAAACCCAGGTAAAATAATATAGCCTGGCCACTATGTTACAAAGTAATGAAATAATAAAGGCCAAAGGGTGGGTAGCCCATGATGGAGAGAGTCAAAATATCTAGTCAGTCTTAAAAGTCAAAAGTAACTTCTATGTTTCTCAGATACAAAAGTCCAGCTTAACTCATCTTCTGCCCCAACATGCCAGAAATAATCAGTTTTCACAAGTATTGTTTTATGACATAAATAACATTTAGGTAAGTACTTAAGCGCACTGAATTAAATGTCAATGACCAAGCACGTTTGATATATCAGGTAATTGATAGCTTTAGGGTGGAAACTTCCACTGACGTCCAACTAGCCTCTAACTGAGCAGACGTCTAAGTTGGGATCTAACTTAGCATCTACATGTTGGACGGAGACTTCCAAGCAAGACGCGTCTTAAGTTCACTGTCGCCAAATAGATGCAGCCGCAGTCCAGCTAGATGCGTCCCAGACTTAGACCCGTCTAGCGACGCGAAATGAAAGTCTCCACCCTTAATGAATCAGCAAAGATGCATCAGAGAACTCTGCCACAAAGATTTATCATTCTTCTATATACCGTGGCTCCATTTTTTTCCTGACATTCCAATTCTAACACAGGTATTTTCCATGCACCCAAATCATTGCCTTTGAACTTTGAAGCTAGAACTTCCAACAAATAAAAAGGTGGACCAGATTGGAATAGATGAGATGCCCAACAGTGGCAAACAATACTTTGTATTGCAACGAAAAACAAAAATTCGGCCTACCGCACACTTATTTCTGCAAAAATTGGAAAACGCAAAAATTTTGCTCGCATACCAGCCAGCATCGTGCTGCATTCCTGCATTCCATTCCAGTAAAGTTATTTATAGGTATCTTGCTGCATTCCAATTCCATGCAGAAGTTATTTGTGATTATATGACGTCATGAAATCGAGCTGTTATTTTTCATTTCGCTGCTGATTCTCGTTTGACGACTGATTTTTCCTCGCAAAAAAATCAAAAATAGTCTTAAAAAAGTGCAAAGCTATAGAATATTGAATTGTATTAAAAAAAGAGAAAAGACGAGTTTTTAAATAACTTTTTGGATTGGTTCTCAGATTTCCTGATGCAATGCCTTCTGTAGAAATACCAAGATATAATTTTCAATGTTCTCTTCTTTTGCGTTAGAATCGCCGTCAGAAAACTCACCAATCAGCGTCAGAGTTGGGTGGAAATTCCCTGCTGCTAGCTACTACACACTGCTGTTCGCGGTTTTTAAAACAGCTGAGTGCTGAATTGACTGCTAAAAGCGACAGCCTTGTGGTTCACAAAAAGCGTTTTCGCGCAGTGCTAGGTGCTGCGCGTGTTAAAAGTTATTAAAAATTAAGCATCTGCATGGTTGTTTTTAATTAAATCGATAAAAAAGTTACTTAGCAACAGTGCGTCCAGAAATAAGTCTTCAGAGGGGCGCTTGCCTTGTTTTCCGTTCTTTTCTGTATCCTTTATCCCGTGCCTGTCAGTCACTTCTCGTCTAAAAATGTCTTCCGTTCATTTCTTTCTTCAACCCCTACCTGGGAGTGATGAACAGATGAATGATAGGTGAGTACTGAATAGGTAGTCATTTTTTTAATTATTTTTAGTTGCTACTTAAAGTTCAACCATTCAAATTGGATCAATTAGGACTTGTTTGATATCGTTGTCTTCGGTAACATGGTCACAATGCCTGGAAGTCAAAGTGGAGTGGCTTACAAAGCACTCAGTGCTTGGGCTCATACTTATTTTTATTCTGATAATGCTTGGGGAGCATATTGTCAGGGTTTTCTATTAGCCAAATGTTTGATCACTATCAGTGAAGGCATCTAGCTCCGAGGTTGTAATATGACGTAGGCATGTATTCCCCTGCACCGCAAATGTCATATATATATATATATATATATATATATATATATATATATATATATATATATATATATATATATATATATATATATATATATATATATATATATATATATATATATATATATATATATATATATATATATATATATATATATATATATATATATATATATATATATATATATATATATATATATATATATATATATATATATATATATATATATATATATATATATATATATATATATATATATATATATATATATATGCTCAATCAGTTTAATACTTAATAAACAAGAGACAGTTGTCTATCTCTTGAAACAGAGGGTTCTGTTATAAGTTTGTTGTTTCCAGGCTTTCAGCAGTACCTATGTAAAGATTTTGGTTAGGGCAAGCCTTATTTATTTTATCTTTTATCTTTTAATAATTTGGAATTTTATTGATGCTCCTCTTTTTGTAATGTTCTTTTTTACAATGAACTTTATGTTTTGGTTACATCAGTCATGTTGGTAGGTATGTGTTTGGATTAGGTGGAATATTGTCAAAGCCTTTGATGTGCCTTACATCAAAGATTTTATATGCTATCATTTTCTCACTAAAAAATGTATTGCTTATTTTAATTCCTCAATTGCAGCTATACAACTGTAAAATTTAGTGTTGTATGTGCCTCAAACCTTAACTAGCCAGACCTACATGAAAGCCAGACCAGACCTTAAATGACACAAATAGTTTATAGCAAGTGTTAGGGAACTATTATATCTAGCTGAAACCCACAGCCAAGTTAGAAGGCTACTGATACTGCTACAGTGTGTCATGTCACATGTGGTGATAACATGTTAAAAAAGTGCAAACTGCAATGCATAATTGTCAGAGTACTAAGCTAATTCTAATTGTCTTTCCTGAGACTCTTTCTTGGACTTTAAATGGTAGTATATGTGATGTGTTGTTTTTGGTAAATAAAAGTCACTTTCTTTGCCTTGATTAGATATGAACAAAACATCAGCATTAAAAAGTGCAGTGCTGGAGGATTGGGATGTTATGCCTGTATTGGTAAAAATGTTACTTTTGAAGTCAAATGAGGTCAAATTAAGGCAGAAATGAGTATGGGATGCAATTGAGAGAATAACTGTTGAGATAATGTTCATTGGGGTGACTGAAACCTGCGAGTGACAGGAACAGATAAACAAGGGATTGGGAGTCTGGAGAAGGAACCAAAGACAAGCCATGATGGGTAGAATGGCTAGGACTAGGATGACTGGCTATCTGTAGAATGGCAAGCCATGACTGGCTTCATCTATTCATTGACTTTGCTATCACCTGACCAAAAAGAAAAAAAGAATAAAAACAGCAACAACACCAGCAACAAAACAACACCAACAATTACAAGACACACACACACAAGTTCATGTTTTTTATGCTTCGAACACGCATGTTGCTCATGATGCTGTTAGGTAGGCAATATTTTGTTTATTTAAGGTTGGGAGCTGACCATTTGACCAGGATGTGGAGTTATGCTGATGCGGAGGGGGTGGCGGAAAGCAGACCCAGCGGGCCCGCGGACGTATCCTGCGCGCCAGCTCTTCCAGCGGAGCCAGAGGTGTTCATATGAAAAGGTCAATCTCCTTCTCGCGGCAGGCCAAAGAGCATGTTTTGCCTTCCTCCTGACTCATTTCCCGGATAAGTTGTTAACTCTGTCCTTCTTTCCCGCCCCGCTCGCAGGCTGAGGGAGCTGGCGGAGCGGATCAACCGTTACGGACAGAGCTCTCCGGCGCCGCTGTCTCAGCTGCGCGTGGCCGTGCGCCAGGCAGCCGTCGGGCCCGGCCACGTGGCGCTGCTGCTCGAGGATGGCCGCGTGTGCCGGCTGGCCTTCAGCGTCATCACCGAGCGACTCGACCTCAGCAAACAGGAGAGCGGCTTCAAAACGCTCTTCAAGGTTGGTATCGGCAGCGATGGTGGTGGTGGTAAAATTGTGCCGGAATAAAAGGATATTGAGCATTGATTGTTTGAGTACATTGTTAAATCAATTGGTGCTGATTTCTGGCAATCATTCATGATTTCTACCAATGAGAAGTGATTTTTGTGGGTCACATAAAAAATGAACGAGTCAACTTTTTCTGCGTGCCTCGGAGCGACCAAGCTGCCGCTCTGGTCGACCAGGGAACGTAATACTGCCTGTAACATAATGCTGGGTGTTGCCAGCCATCAGCGCTGACTGACCTGTCCTGCTCTCCAGGTATCGTCCACACCGTCCGGTGCGAGCGGCGGCGCCGCCGGTAGCGGTGGCTCAGCAGGGGCCGGCGGCGGCGGTGGAGGGGGCGGCGGCGGGGGCGGCGGAGGGGGTGGCGGAAAGCAGACCCAGCGGGCCCGCGGACGTATCCTGCGCGCCAGCTCTTCCAGCGGAGCCAGAGGTGAGCCGCACAGGTCCCGAGACCGAACCGACAAAAAACATTGGGAGTTGGGACTCCGGCCAGACTTACCGTCCTTACTTCGTGTGCGTGTTTGTAAATTGAACAGAGAGGTATTTCAGCATTGCTAAAACATAATTGTTGCATGTTGTGCTTACCAGCTGACGCGCCATTTTTGGGGCACACCGCACAGTTTTTTGCAAGTTTGATATTTTTTACCGAACATTTTTTATCCGCATATCTGACCAAGCACATATTCCACAAAACTGACTGCTCCATGGGTGGCCGTCTAGTACTGTGTCTTTCTCAGCCTTTTTGCTCCAGCCTTTTCTCCTGGTGATTCATTTTTTACCATGTTTGTCTCACAAGATGCTTTTCTGTCCTTGCTTGTCTCCCAGTGAGCCGTCATTTTTCTGATTTCATCTCCCAGTGAGCCATATCTTCTTTTTTAGTGAGCAATGACTAAACCTTTTTCGACTGCGTCGCTTCTGACCGTGTGTCCCCTGACTCCCCGCTCCCCCCTGCGTTTGCGCCGTGCCGCCGCTGACCGTGGCACCCGCTGCGCTCTGACCAGCAGGGCGCGGCACGGGCGTCATTAGCGTGGCCGGCGCGCGGCCCGTGGTGCCCGCCTCCTACGTGCCCGAGGACCTGGTGGCTCAGGCGCAGACCGTGCTGCAGGGGAAGTCGCGCAACCTCATCATCCGTGAACTGCAGGTCAGGCCGGACCCCCGGGCGCAGTGTGTGGTAGGGCACACCGTGGAATAGCAGATAAAATACCTGCTGGTATTTATTTGCTTATTGCTGATTGATTCTTGATATGTGATGTTTGAAAGACGTTTTCAGCGGCGTAAATGTGTCTCACGTCGATCACAGCGTCTGCCATGCATATACCAGACACGTTTTTATGGTTCCAATACGTTTTCACCGTGTCATCGTTTTCTTCAGAGGACCAATTTGGACGTGAACCTGGCCGTGAACAACCTGCTCTCCCGTGACGATGACGAGGGCGACGACGGCGAGGAGGGACAGGTAGGTGTCCGATGGGCATTTTCGGCTGGTGTCCGATAGCGTGGCGAGTTGCATGACTCTTATGTCCGTGTTTGATCCGATTGTTTAGCTCGGCTTTTGACCCGCTTCAGTCAGTTCAATTGCTTTTAGTTCCGAATTCTACATGAATTTACACTAACATGTCATCTCCCATTGTCCTGCCGCTGATTATCCCCACCATCGCCAGGACTCGTACGTGCCGGACGACCTGATGTCGTTGCTGGACGCCGGCATCCACGCCGACCACCCCTCTGTCATCATCGACGCCGACACCATGTTCAGCGAGGACATGTTCGGCAGCTACAGCACGTCGGTGCGACGCTCAGGCAGCTCGCGCGCCGCGCCGCGCGGAGACCGTGACGAGCGCGACACGGTGTTCCCGTACCGAGAGCGGCGGGCCGGCGGCGCCGTGCCGCCCAACCCGTCCCGGCGCTGGATGATCGAGAACGCCTTGCGGGATACGCTGCTCGAGAAAGACACTGATGGTGAGGGTACTGTCACTGGAGGAGGAGGGAGGGAGGGATAGATGGAACGGAGGGGCTTCAGGGAGGACAGACCACCGATGCAAATGAGAGTTAAAGGACAAGGAGAGAATTGGACGAAGCTAGGAGGGAAGTTCGGAGACTTAGATTGAGGCTGCTTGATGGATGCCAAGTAATGAAGGGGAGGGTAGGGGGAATGAAAGTTGAAGCAAGGGATGCCTATTTGCATGCCGTAGGAAGGCATGTATCATTAGCTCGATTGTTTATTTTTATTCGTGATCATGGACGCTGATCGTTTGAGATCCGGCCCTATGCTATGATACTCGACCTTTCAGTCGCTTGAACAGGTCATTATTCTCTTTCATGATGCCTGCACGATCCGTCTAAATGTAACTGACCCACTGACGCGTTCCGTGCCGTGGCACCTCAGGTAAGAAGAAGGAGGCCAGTCAGCCGAGCCCTCTGTGGCTCTCTGACGAGCTCGAGTACCTGCCGGCTCCGGTGAAGTTTGCGCACATCGCGGCGCTGCACTCTGAGCTGGCGGCGGTGACCGTCACTGGTCAGCTGTACCAGTGGCGCTGGACCGAGATGGAGGCCTACCGACACCCGGAGGTGCGCTACGCGGGGCGCGGGACTGGGCGGGGGAGGGGGTTAAGGGAGCCAGATGGGAGGTTATTGAAGGACAGCAGGACACTGATAAAGATACTGATTTTGAATGTGCTTTGTGGGCTATACTGAGCTACTTTGATTCTAATCGATACTTGTATGATGAACAAGTTCAATTTTCATTACATGCAGCCGTTTCAATATATTCTGCTTTATTCATCTTAGATTTACGAATTCATAACGAACATCTATTTGGTACCGTGCCTTATCCACTGCCCCACTAACGGCTCCCCCTGGCATCTATTTACCCGCATAGAACCCGGACATCCACCACCCGAAGGTGTCGTGTCTCGGCCTGCTGAATGAGGCCATCACGCACATCTCGGCGTCGACGGTGCGCGCCTCGGTGGCCACAGAGTCGGGCCGCGTGGCCAGCTGGGTGGACGACACCATAGGTGAGTGGGATTGGGGAGTGACGACATACACGCCTCAGGGACATACACGCCACCGCGGTGGCCTGTTTGGTCGGGTAGGAGTGAACAGCTGATACATGATCGGTATGATGCAGATCCCGGGCTACGATTATCACTCATGCTTGTGGTGTCATGTGTTTAGTGTCATGTGATGAATGTCATGTCGGTTTCTTGAAGCTAAACTGCATCATTAGTCCGTTTAAACACTGGGCCCGCTGTAACTTAACCGGCTCGTCTGACCTGCCCGGCAGCGTCGGCGGCCACGAAGCTGGAGCACCCAGCGCACGCGTTCTCTGAGCTGGTGGCTGATCGTGTACGGCAGCTACAGACGTGCTCGCTGTACACCTGCGTCCAGCTGGAGTCGGGAACCATGTACTGGTGGTGAGTGGCGAAAGGAAAAAGGCGGGCTTACTTCCGGAGAGAACGGCGGCCAGCGCAGTGGCTGCTTTGAGCGTGAAGTGTCTGTTTCATGCGAGCAGGATAGACGCGGCTATACACAAGCCAACAAATTCGCTAAGCTATGTCCAAAGAGGTTACAAACCCAACAGGCAGTTTCTGTAGACGAGTTGCCGGATGTTCTGTCTCACCCTGCTCTCTGCCGTGTTCTAGGGGCGTGCTGCCGTTCGGTCAGCGGAAGCGACTCTGGGAGAAGTACCGACTCAAGTGTAAGAGACACCGGCCGTCGGCGGCCACCGGAGAGGTACAGGTGGGCGCCACCGTCTGCATGCGTAACGCGCCCTTTTACCACGCCGGCGCCGTCGGCTACACGACGATCGGCGGCGCGCCGCGCGTCGGACAGCTGCTGCAGGCCGCCTGGAACCTCACCGACGTCTGCCGATTCAAGATCCTGCTGCCGCCGGCCGACCCGCGCAAGCCGGCGCCGCTGCGCGAGGGTCAGCTGAAGACCAAGGAGGCGGCCGACCGGAACGACATGCCGCCGCCGCCCAGCCCGGCCAGCTCGACCTGCTCGGACGCCAGCGGCTCGGCGGCTTCCACCGGCGGGCCGGCTGTCAAGCGCGCGCGCCGCTCGGCGCCCAAGAACAGCGCCGAGCGCCGGGACGAGGAGGAATGGAGCCTGGCCGACGTCATCTTCATCGAGGAGAGCAAGAACATCCCGTACGGCAAGGTGCTCAAGATCGACGGTCCGTACGCGGTGGTGTACTTCTGCCAGGGCCGGGAGGCGCCGGCCACCGACGACCCGCTGGTGATGCTGAACGAGTCGCGACTCTGCCGCAAGGACGAGCTGATGGTCATCAAACCCGGCTCACCGCCGCGCGTCCCAGAGTGCTTTCAGAAGCTGCCCAAGAAGATCGCTCTGCCCAGCTCTGTCCAGGTGCTGACGTACGCCGTGGACGGTAAGGGCCTGCACTGCATCGTCTCCAGCGGCGGCAAGCTGAGCTACAACGTCTACAGCCTGGTCAGCTCGAAGCCGGACTCGGAGTGCGTGCTGCCCACCGAGTCGGACATCTTCTGCGGCCGACAGCCGAGCGCCATCGCGCTCAAGACCACCGGTGAAGCCGAGCAAGTGACGTTGCTGCTGGACGGCAACTCGACCGTCTACCCGCTCAACAAGACGTGCCTGGAGACGTCGATCCGCGACCCGCTCACGTTCGACCTGATGCCGCTGCGCTGTTTGGCGCTGGGCAGCCACCACCTGCCGTTCGTGGCGCCCCACCAGAAGACCAGCGTGGCGCTGGCCGTGCTGGTCGTGGAGTCGCAGATCTTGATGCCCAAGATCCTGCGCTGCGACCTGGACGCGGTCACCCAGCTGCTGCACAGCCTGACCCAAGACACAAGTGAGTGGGCAGCAGGCGTCGGTCGGTCCGTATCGGTAGAGTGGGTGTTGGTTAAATAATTATGGCTAGATTAGCTGTGGTTATTTGTTTATGAAGTAAGCAAGAAACATAGCTGTTAATCGCACAAATGTCGACACTCTCGGACAGAAATACTCATTGATTATTGCCAGTCTGAATCAGTTTCGGCTCAGTCTGCTGGATCCAGGCCTTCTGCCTCCACTCTTTCACCCTGCTAACGACCCTGTCTCTCCTCACCGCAGAATCAGCAGTGACCCAGACGACGATCCAGCAGCTCATCTCCGAGCGCTGCGACGGCAACCGCAACATCATCCACGCCTGCGTGTCCATGTGCTTCCCGACGACCAACAAGGAGAATGGACAGGGTGAGCGCGAGCGGCTGGGTGGTCGGCGGGCATAGGCGTCGCCAGAGATTTTCGGTTGGGGGGGCAAAATCAACTTTTGTGTCAAAACTTGCCTTTCCCCAGTCTTAAATCACTCGTTTTACATATCATTCGACGCGCAATGGTGCGAGGAATCCCATGGTGACAAAGGTTTCCTTCTAGCTATGACATGTAATTTTTTAAAGAAAAATTCGAAATTTTGAAATTTCATAACAAAACGACTGGTAGAATTATAGTGGCTGCGATTGCCGACGCACTGCAGAGGGCCCCTGTGCAGACGCTCGACGCTCATGATCATTACCTACCGATTTAGAGGTGAAAAACGCTCCATTTGATCGGATCACCCTGCTAAAACCTCCATTCACGCATGCATGCAGAGGTTTTACGTGAAATGCATAGGACTTATCCCAGCCGCCGATCGTAGCTTAGTTGGGCATTCGGCGGAGAGTGAATGTGTGAAGTGTGAATCGGAAGTAATTCATCTTTGCTCCAGTGAGAGGAAGTGTTTTGTTCACTCGAGTGTGAACAAAAGTTTCTCGTTTTTCGTGTGAAGGGAAGCGCTGCAAACGTGAACAAAAACTGTTAAACAGAACCAAAAGTTACGCACGGCATAGCGGCAAGGGATCCCTTAGAGATAGGTTTGTGACTTCCAGGCCATTTCAGGCCACTCAGGGTCAGTGCTGACTCTCAGAAGCCTGCTTAGGATCCCGGAGATCGACGTGGGTCACCTCAAATATTTACGCGTACGTGGTGCTTTAGGGCTTTCCGAGCCCAAGGTGGGGTCCTCAGAAGCCAGTGTGGGCGGCGGGCGCTAAAGACTAGGCCCAGGGTGAGCCTGGAGCCCTCGGAAAGCAGTGTGAACTAGAGTTGCAAAGTTTCCCCCAAAGGCTGCTACCGGCACCGCCCCGCCCCACAAATTTTTTTGGGGATACCGGCATGCTACCACGCCCAAAGCAAAAACACCACACCAAATTACCGGCATACTAAAAAACCTGCATTGTTGATTCCAGTTTACCCCTACAAGAGATGCCACATTTTCCTCTTAGTGTCCAAAGTTTGAATCATATGCTAATAATTTTTTTTTTGTGCAAAACCAAAAATACCGGCATGCTACCGGCAAGACATGCCAGATACCACAAAAAAACCTGCGGTAGTGAAAAATTACCGGCATGCCGGTAATGCGGTAGGGAAACTTTGCAACTCTAGTGTGAACCCTCGGGGTCTATGTCGAATCCCTAAGGACCCTACGTAGGGACATAATAAACATGTGTTGCGGACCTCAGAGGGACACGTGAGCTGTGACCCCGCAGATGCCGGCTTGGGGTTGGCAAAGTCTGTCGCCTCAAAAGTTTGGCTGAACTATCAGAGGCCAGTTAAGGTTCTCAGAAATGTTCGAAGGCTCAAAGATCCCTGTATGGGCCCTCAGAGAACATGGACACCAGTGGGGCTTTCAGAGGCCGGTTTGGGCCCTCTAAAAGCTTCTTTAGGGCTCAGTGGAGCTCCTTAGGAGCCTTTGTTTAAAGCAAGCTCATGAGCCCTGCGACACTTGTACGGTACTTGAGCCTGTCGCAGACATTTGACGAGAGTTGAGAAAGGCCCCGAAGATTTCGTTTCACGCTTTGAACGAAAATTGTGTCAGCACTCCAAAACTTATGAAAATCAGCTGTAAAATGTAATAAAGAACGAACTAGGAACATGTAATGAATCACATCATTGACATTTCCGAGTCTGGACTTGGAGTCTTGAAGATTTTGGCGACTGCGAGTCAGACTCTGGTTTGAACTGCACGCTCCAACCGAGTCTGACCTCACAGGCATTCTCAGAAAGGTACCCCCATTTTTTCCCGACTCCAAAATCTCATCGGATCTGTATCGATCTCAGGGGGTGCCCGGTCCGAGGTTGGGGGGGGGGGGGCAAGCTGCCCCGCTTGCCCCCCCGTGGCGACGCTAATGTCGGCGGGGGTGGGATTAGCCTGGAGGGACGGACCGTGATGTTTGGATTTATGAGATGCATTAAAGTTATGTAGACGGTAAATTCGTAATTAATACGTAGAGGCTCATGAGAGGCTTGGCGTGACTGTTGTATGACATCCAGTTGGAAGAAATATCCTAGTGAATTGTCTCGTAACTTATCTCATATCTCAGTCTCGATCGGTAGAGCTCATCGGCTGTTGTTTTCCCAGACGGCGGTTCGGGCGGCAGCTCTAGCGGCGCCGGAGGCGGGGGCGGCGGCGGCGGCGGCGGCGGCTCGAGCGTAGTCAACTACGAGCCCTCGTTCGAGTCCTACTCTGCCAGCCGCAGTCAGACGATCCGCGACTTCATCCGCCGCTCTTCCATCGTCCGCAGCATCAGTGAGTACCTAACCCGGCGTATACCGGTGGCCAGTGGCCACCTCTGACTGATAGACCGTTGACCAACCCTGCGCGACTGAACCGACTGACTGGCCGGTAGCCACTCTACTAGCCTCTTGGGCCTGGGCTCTGACCCAACTGACCGGTCTCCCAGTGCATTGATGTTTGGGTATAATATCAAAATCATCAAGCCATTTGATGTCCAATATGTGCCCATGTATGTGAGGACGTGGTATCTTTGCTTCTGTTCTTGTATTCGGTACCTTCTGACCGTTTTTATCTGTCGGTGCCGGTGTGCCAGGTGCCGTGTCGGGCCAGGGCGGTCTGCTGGTGGCCGGCAGTGCCGGAGCCGACCAGCACGACCCGGCCGCTCTGGAGCGAGAGGAGGTGTACAGCGAGGAGTTTCCACAGCTGGGTCGGGCCGTCACGGCCGCCGACCTGCCCTGGCCGCCGGAGCCCATCGAGCCCAACAGCGGGGACGAGGAGCCTGCCGGCGGGGGGCCCGGCGGCGCCGTCACGGCCGCCTCCACATCCAAACAGATCGGTAAGGCGGGGATCACATCCTAACAGATGGGTAAGCTGGGACTGTCTGCGCCGCGTCCACCTCCAAAGAAATCGGTAAGGTCTGGCTAATCTCCAAGCAAATCGGTAAGTTCGGGCTCACATCCCGACACGTCGGTAAGATGGGACCGTACCGCCGCCTCCACATCCAAACAGGTCGGAAATTTCGGATCGGGGTCAGGGGCTCCGTACAAACTGATCGGTGAGTCGTGTTCGGAGCTCTTTTCAGACTGGGTCGGAGTTCATAGCTGAACAGAGAGACCGGTCCGCGCGGGTCGGAAATTCCTCCACACCTCAACAGCCTAGTAGGTCGGGGAAAGCTTCAGTCGTTTGACCGGTTGTTCAAGTTGTTTATGCAAATAAATGCAGTAATTCACCACAAGCATGGGTACACCATTTAATGTGGTAGTTAGCATATCGCCGGCACGATATCGATGAAAAGCATCTATTGTAAATTAGGATTTTATTAAATACCGAGCGCCCTACTACATGTCTGCGTCTGTCTCGTTTCCATAAATACTAAGTGCCCAACTAAATAAATACACCTCGTCTGTAGGATGAACGATAGGTTCCTCAGTTTGACTCCTCGTAGCGGGTTTCGGAGCGGCTAGATCTCCCGTCTGTCAGTATACCGGTGTGGCGGGCTGAGCCGTGAGCTCACTCTTCTGTCCCGGGAGCCGGTCGTATTTTCATGGTGACCGTGCGGAGCGGGATCTGGTGGCCGCGGGACGTGTCCCAGCTGAGGCTGTATTTGTTCTGTTTGCGCTGACTGGTCACGTAGCGCCCGTTGAGGCTGGCCGGGCCGCAGTCGCGGAACCACCAGCCGCTGCGCCGGGTGCGCGCGCAGCTGCCGTACAGCCAGTCGTCCTGGTCGCGGTCGCGTGTAGAGAACCGCAGGCCCGAGTGGGCGCTCAGACTGTCGCCGGCGTCACCCGAGTAACCTTCAACTGTCAGCCGGTAGCCGTCGGCCTCGTCCGAGACGCTGAACGTGCTGTAGATGGCGTGGTAGCGCGCGCCCTCCCAGTCCTCCAGATCGACGCGCAGCTCGAACGGCCGGTCGGGGTGCGAGGTGAGGGTGCTGATGTGATCCAGACCCAGCCAGAACTCTCCCATGGGGTCGCCGAAGCCGCTCTTGTAGTGGCGCCAGCGGCGATAGAAGTTTTCTCGGGGCTTGATGTCGTCTCGCCGCTGGATGACTGTCCAGGCGCCGCCGGTCGAGTTCGTGTCGCAGTAGGTGCTAACCGGCGCGCCGCCCGCGTACAGCATGAAGACGCCGCTGATCGCGTCCTCCGGTAGGTCGCTGCAGTCGCGGGGCGGCCAGTGGGGCGCGTCCGCGGCCTCGGCCTTACTCTCCGAGCTGTTCAGCCGCTCGGATATATTGGTTAGCTGGCTAGCGAGCTTCTCCATCTCCAGATTCAGATTATCGTTTTTCTCGTTAGCGTCTTTGATATCATCAGACAGCTTTTTGACTTGCTCTGTCAGTTTCTGCACGTCGTCGCTGCTTTCCATCTGAGCTGCAAGTTGAGTCACCTGTTCAGACAGCTGGCAGATCGAATCACCGTTCTTCTTCATCTCCTTGAACAGCTCAGAGATCTGGTCTGACTGCCGGCTGTCTCGTTCGTCGTTGGCTTTCATCTGCTCGGATAGGCTGGCCTCCACCTGTGCCATCTGTTCGGCCATGTTGTCGCAGTCACAGCCGTCTCCGGAACCCTCCAGCTCGTCTGCAATGGCGGGCTCACCGGTCCATAGCAGCAGCACAAGGACGACAGACGCCCCAGTCCAGGGGAGATTCATGGTCGCTGGCAAAGGTTCCGTACCAACTAGAGCCATGTCAGGACTGTTCTGCTCAACCAGAGTAGCTGCGCGGCTTATATAGTCGATATCCATTACTGTCGAACAAGGGACATTGAAAATGAAGTCTGTGTGAAACTGCCGTCTTCGTGCCACGTATTTGGTAAACTGCTATTGATGTGGGTTCATTTGTTCACTCGGTTTCTGCTTCCGTCGCCCGTTGTCCCGTCCACAGCCTTTCAACCTCTGCTGTGTCTTGGAGGAACAATGGTCTGCTAAACAACTCGCCTTGTGACTGTGACCTTCATCGGGTGCCTACAGCTGGGTCAAGGACCATATTGCCTGCATTTGTGTATTTTCGCCGTCTAGTTTTGGCGGACACATGGCCCAGAACTGAGCGCTCCAAGAGTTGGCCCATTTACTTCTTGTCTTCATTTCCAGACCAGCGATGAAGTGGTTGGACGTCTTTGGCTTTGACTGGTTACCCATCGCCAGAACATCTCGCTTCAGATGTCTGATATTCGCTCCTGGCATATCGTCCAATGTGCCTCGCAAGGTTTCCGAATCGGAGCCGGTGTGGGAGTTGCACGAGGTCGTGACAACGAGCCAGGGATCGGAGTGTGGTTAAAGATGGCACGCCCATCTGGGACATCAATTTAGCATATACAGGGTGTTCCGAAATTGATGCGCGGTTGTTTTATCCTCAGTAACTTATAAAGTGCTTGAAATTATTTCACGGTTTATATGTTATCATAGTCCCCATTTAGTCGCATACACGGCCTATTGCACTCTAGCGTGTCACGTTTCAGGTTGTCAAGAGTCTCTCCTTTGAAACTACGCCATGTCGTTTATAACTTCTGAAACAGCCTCTTCTCTGAGCAAGCCAGTGGGAGCTTGCTGGACTCTTTTCTGACGATCGTCCAGATAATTTGGATCGGGGACGGGTCCAGACTGCAGCCAGACCATGTCTCCTTCTCCCAGAGGCCTGGAAGCCTCGCTCGACACCAGTCCTGGGTCTTCCTGGCGTGATAAGCTCGAGCCCTTTCTTGCTGGAAAATGGCCTGGGACATGTCCGATCAAAGTTTGACTCTGGGTTTTGAACCATTCACCTTTTTCCTCAGCATCTTTGTGGCAGCAGTCTTCTTCAGCACCTCGCTGACATAGTAATCAGCAGTCACAGTCTGTCCCCGCGGCACCTTGTGAAGCTCAGAGAGCCTCTGTAGCTCATCATTCTCCGAATGAGATTCTTCAGCAAATGTTTCACTGTCTCGACAGCGGACTCTTCAGAGCTGCTGTTGGCCCACATTACGATCGTTCTGGCAGTTAGGGACTTAGATAACACAAAGGGCACCTCGTCACTGAAAAGGACGCATCTCCAGTCCTGAATGGTCCAGTTTTGTGGATCTTGGCAAAATCCAGCTGCCTGCACTGCTGGACCACGGTAACCCAGGTATGTATCTTGAGGCTGAGCAGCTTCAGCTTCAAGATAGTCTTCAAATACTGGTGAAGGGTCGATTTAGATGCTGGGCCATGCATCTCGTTCAGTTTTCTTGTCAGTGCTTATGTTGCATGGTGCTTTTTAAAGACGACTTTGCAATTACGATATTCGCCACTCGGCTCAAGGTAGTCTTCCTTGTAGTCTTCTTCAGGTAGTCTTCTTCAAGGTAAATATTGTCAGTGTGCTATTAAGATGTTTTTATGACTTTTTCAATGTCTCTTGCCCAGTGGCGCGGGATTTTATTCCAGACTGGGGGGGGGGGGATGGGGGCTGAACCATAATAGAGATCAACCCAGGGTACCCCCAAATCTAGTTTTCTCACGGGTTCTAGGCCACTTATTTTTCAGACCTTGGCCTTGTCAACAACAACAAAAAAATATTTGCAAAAAAAGTCAGGGATTCCGTCTCAGCTGAGTGAAGAAACTACCGTTTTGGCAACCTGGAATAAAGGTTTTAATCTGCCAAATGAGTTGCCGAGCCAGTGAAAGAGGTGGACTTTTCACTTACATGCTTTCTTCCTTTGTGACCCACAACCCCAAATTTGGAGAGGACAAGCTCCCCCAACTGTTCCTGACCTCATGAAAAGTTGTGGGGCACCGCCCCCACGGCCCCAGAGCTGTGGGGGCAAGCTTCCCCCACTGCCCCCTCCCCCGGTTCCCGCGCCTATGTATGAATCTATGAAATTATGTTGGTAGATTTCCGTTTTCGATTCCTCCAGCTGGGGGGAGGGGGGGGGGGCTCAAATACATTACAACCCCCCCCCCTGCCGAAAAGTTGGAGGGGCTCAGCCCCCGCTAGCCCCTCCCCCCCCGGTTCCCGCGCCACTGCTCTTGCCCCTTGTCATTACATAGCCAAGGGTTAAGTTGCCGGGTGCGTACCTCCCTTTTACTCAGACGCTTTGATATTTTACGATTGGACTATCGCCATGGAACGGAAGAATAAGCTCGCTGTTTTATTGCGAACACGTAGCTAGTTAACATAGTCGTAAGCTCGCATGTCGAATGGTCCGCTTTCGATTTTTTTTTTCATTTAAAGGGGAGGCTCCGAACTATTTTTTGGTCGACATCACACACCATTTACTTTACATGTATTCTTCGTTTCCTTTTGAGAAAATGGTATGCTGCTTGTAGGTATATCGTATAGTGGAGTAGTCAAGAAGTTCGCGATTGCCCCATGTAGCCCACGTATTCACTATCGTGGAAATCTCCCCCCTGACTACTGCCCAGGAATTGCTAATTGTTTTTTTTTTTTTGCAGGTTTTTGTGGTTTGGTGCTATATGTAACATGCGGCAATATTATTACATGACTCATGTGTCAACTGGTTGCGTGATAATTCTGACTGTTGACCGTGATTTTCACCTTTAATTTTCGTCACTGATAGATCCACTGTTGATGTTTATCATTTATTAGTGGAGCTACAGTTGCGACTACTTGCCCAAACGTGCACATGCCCAACATATAGCTACTTTGGAGTTATTCCATGAAAGGCACTCATAAATATTTTCCCAAGCTAATATCTGGGGTTAGCCTGTCAGAACAGAATAAGACAAAAGATACAGCACATGGTATATTCAAGAGCCAGGCAAATCGAACTGCAGTAAAATATCTGCAAGTCCGTCTCACACACTGAGTGAAAGAGATTAGTATCAACGATAAATACAAGGCAGCTACAGTGAAGTCAGCGCGGCATCCGTTCAATGCCTGTCCACCTCTGTCGAGGTGAGGCGGCTGGTTCCGGTAATCAAGTTCGTTATCCGTGCTTCAGTTGGAGCGTCGCTGGGTGTTGTGCTGTTTTCCGGTTAAGTGCTCCCCCGTGCTCACGGCTCCAGCGATAGATCCGACATCTTGTCTACTATCCCCAGGTCCAATCCTGCATGCGGCCGGAAGTTTTTTTGGAGCCCCGTCCTCGGCTGGCTCCAAACGACGCCGAGCGAACCTGCCGAGTTCCTGTGTCGTCGCTGTCCTCCATCTGCGCGTTTTGTGTCACCTGGGAGATCAGAGTTTCGAGCCGCCGTTCCAGTCTCTCGACCCGCCCCGCCTCAGCCTCGAGCCTGTTGATGCGCATTGCAATCTGGACATCTGAGTGTCGGTTGTCCTCAGTTGCTCTGAAGAGCTGGGATATTTGGCGTGACTGTTTTGTGTTTTCTCTTTCGCTAGTCTTTACTTGCTCGCAGAGGCTGACCTCCAGCTGCGCCATCTGTTCGGCCATGTTGTCGCAGTCACAGCCGTCCCCGGAGCCGTCCAGCTCCTCTGCAATGGCCGGTGCGCCGCCCCATAGTAGCAGCAGCAGGACAGACACCCCAGTCCAAGGGAGATGCATGGTCGCTGGCAAAGGTTCCGTATCAACTAGAGCCGTGTCAGGACTGTTCTGCTCAATCAGAGTCGGTGCTCGGCTTATATAGCTGGATCCCGGGCTTAGGGGGTGCGTTACTTCAGACGAAACTGGGCGAAACCCTACTGTTCGACGTTATATTGGTAAATTAACAGCTGCCGAGACCCATTCAGTTTGCAGTTCATTGGGTCAGTGACAAAGTACGTACTGCTAGGGCGCCAAACAGTTTCCACTCTGCTCAAAGGCGGCAATAGGCGAGCGCAGCTCTAACAGCCGTGGCATCTCTACACTTTGCAAATTGCTTACTGTGCAGTTCCAGCTTCCGACATTATCGTGGTCAGATCCGTTTATATCAGTGGTCGGCAGGTCATTCGGGGTCGTGCCCCCTTTTTGGGCGCCAGGCAGGGCCATTACCCCCACCTACCAGACCCCATTGCTGACACAACTAAGTTTACTGAAATTCCATACCGTCCTGGAACTCTTTGGGCATTTGTGCATTTCCAATGCATCAAATTTAAAACATGACACTTCCTCCACAAAACATTTAATACCTATATCCCAGTAGCGTCGGAACACCTTCAATTAAGGGGGAGGGGGGGGGGGCACTGCCGACTTTTGGTCCAATTCTTTCCATGCAACGCCCATAGGGCTAATGTTAAAATGCAAAAATCAAAGGGTGCACGGTGCCCCGGTGCCCTCCCCGTTCCGCCGCCTATGCTATATCCCATTTAACCCTTGTACGTATAGGGGCGGCGGGTGGTTTTTCGTTAAAAACTCACGTAAAAGGCATTGGATCACGACCAAATTGTACCCTCGAGCCCATCATTTTTTTTTTTTACCAGCCCGGAAAATATCATGACCTGGGACCAGTTTTACCAACAGAAAAATAACCGCCTGCCGGAATTTTTGCATCAAGACCGCTTCACATACGGAGCGTAAACGCGATGGGCTCGTAAGCGGATAGGGCTTTACCGTTTACGCTCCATGTGTGAAACGATCTTTAGGCAAAAAATTCCGGCAGGCGGCTATTTTTCTGTTGGCAAAACTGGCCTCTGGACCCATAATGACCGTTGGCTTATGAGCTTTTTCTGGAGATCATCTTGAGCCATAAAATCTCACTTCAAGAAGTTATAGCGGGTCCCGATTTTCTCGACACTTGTCATTGCCCTCTTGAATGATACGGAATGACCAAGGACCTTAAAAATGGGCAGCAGCGGCTTCCTATTTTCACGGGTAGCACGCTCGTCTTTTTTATGCACAGCTCCATCTCAGAGTCCGAGAGGCCGCGGGGGTCCGATCGACTCCTCCCCCTTACGTTAGCGGCTGTTGAAACGCCAACAGACGGGCGACGGTTAAAAGTTGCAGCTAGCTGCTTTTGTACGGAGGGGTGAGATGGTGAGGCAAGCAGGTACGTGAAAATTGGTATCTAATCAATGTGTGTTGTGCCTTTGGCCTGGGCTAATCTTTGAACCCTGGGATGCAATAGTCACGATGGCTCCATCACTGGAGCTACAAACTCTAAAAAGATAGGCTTTCTCAGAATCCCTCATTACCCCCACCGAAAGGGCTCCATTACTCCCAAAGGGGGCATGCCCCACCATTTGCCGACCCCTGGTTTATATGTTATGTATCTAGACACTTATCTCATGGTTTTAAGTCTGACTTATTCTTCCTACATCCCATTGAGACTCGATGTAATATGCAACTTCTTACTTTAATTGGGTATGTAATTTGGTAATAACAAGGTACAAGTTCATCGCTTCTGCTTGCTGATTATTGTTTTATTTTCTTTTGCGAACTGCTTACGACGCTTTTCTATTCTAGACGATTTTTTTCTCGAAAAAGCAGAATTAATGCTGGCTTTCACATTAGCGAGGCTTCGCTGAAGTTAAACCAGAACCAGTCACAGTGCTCCGTGATAAAGTCATCATTGCGTTAGCGTAATTGCTTGTGCTAATAAATGGACCGGGCACAGCTCAGTCTCTTACTATCCTTCCCGCTCACTGCCGCAGGTCCCAGTATGCCGACGATCCTCACCGACCCTGGCGAGCGGAAGGCGAACGCACACAAGGCGCTCTGGCGCATCTGCGAGTGCCCGGCGCTGGCGCCCTACCTGCGCGAGCTGCTCTGCGGCCGGGATGTGCAGGGCTACACGCCGTTCATGCAGGCGGTGTGCGGCCGCGCCTACCGCGCCGCCATCCAGCTGCTCGACACCGCACAGAGGATCGCCAAGGTGGGTGGGGGTTGATACGGAGTGTGGGGACCATAGGGATTGGGGATGGGGAAGTGTGGAGTGTGGGGAGTGTGCGTTTAGAGGGGTGTGGACTTGCCTAGTGTCTTCTACTGAGGAAATTTAATGTATGGTGACACAAAGATTCCGACTTGAATGCTGCCTCGCAAAACTAAAATGGTGTTTAATTTTGGAGGGCTGGGATAATTGTCATCTAGTTCCACAACCCGTCTGTGTGAGCTCGTTCTTTGGATGTGTCTTGGAACGCGCGCATTATTGTGAATGTTCAGCTAAATCTATGACAACGATATATACTGATGGAATGAGTAATGAGTATCTGCTTTTTGATTATGTCAGTTTGATATCAAATTGCTTGCTAAATCACCTCATACAGGCTGTATCTCACTCTGCTAATCCCCCCTTTCAGGAGCTGCACCCCGGCGACGCCGAGGGCTGTCAGCAGACGCTGCAGTCGATGATCTATCCGGCGGGCAGCTCGGCCGACGACAACCCCATGTACGTGCTCTGCTGCAACGACACGTGCAGCTTCACCTGGACAGGAGCCGAGCACGTCAACCAGGTCAGTGACGAGAGGAGGAGAGGGGTTGGAGAGGATAGAAGAGAGACTGGGTGTGGGGAGGTGTGGGGAAAAGTAGTTTGGGCAGGGAGAGAGGGAGGAAATGGTGTGGAGATGAGAGAGGGCTAGAGTGGGGAGAGATGTTGAGTCTGGGCGTCCAGAGAGGCATGGTGTGATATGGTGGTGAAAGGACGCAGGGTCGCGGCCGGACTAGGTTAGAGGGAACATTGCCTTGGTCGTTATGGGGCGGCTGCCTGCAGTTGTCTGTGTTGACTGGTATAAAGCGCCGCAGGGTATCGGCGGACTGACCTACTCCACCAGCACAATGCTTGAATACGCCGGCTGTGTTGACTGTTCACCGATTGTTACTGTGTTTCTTTGGATTGTGCTTACACTTTGTGTACGGGGCTGGCCCTGGCTGTTACATTGTTACTTTGGTACATACGACCTTGGGTCGTAAACGCACTGAAGGCCGTGGCTAGTCGCTCTATTGACCTGTCACCCTGGTGACCTGTTTTGCAGGACATCTTCGAGTGCCGGACGTGCGGCCTGGTGGGCTCCCTGTGCTGCTGCACCGAGTGTGCCCGCATCTGCCACAAGGGACACGACTACCGGGTTAGTGCCGGCAACTGACGACGGGTCGGGAGCACGAGTGGCTCGACGGCGGGGAGAATTACCGATAATAATGGGAGGGAGTGACTTTGACCGCTCTCGTAACCATGCTAGTTAGCAGCCTAGCAGTCTGAGCCTTTGTTCATAATTCACATAACATAATGAATAATGATATTGCATTTTCGATCAACGTCGCGTAACTTATCATCTGGAGCTCAAACCGTCATTCTCATCGTATGGTTGAACCACGCGGCGGCAAAGTCAGACGTGACTGACATGTCTCCTTCGCTCAGATATCGGTGACCGTTGCTGCTCCACGTACCATAACGCCCGTCCCCTTCCTCTGCCGTCCTCAGGTAAAGAACACCTCTCCGTCGGCCTACTGCGACTGCTGGGAGAAGTGCAAGTGTAAGACGCTCATCAGTGGCTCGCAGGCGCCGCGCTACGAGCTGCTCTGCCGACTGGTGGCCGAGACCGACCTGGCCAGCCACACCAACGCACGGTACGCGACGAGAGGCTGCGTGGAGCTCCGAGCGAGCGTGAATGGGAAATGCTGGGTGCTTAGTGACTCTCGTTGACGTGCTATGTAGTGTGTTTGATCGCAGCTGCATTTACGGTAATTCTCCTTGGTATGTTAATGCTTGTATAGTGAACAATGAACAAAGTTATGATGCAAATCGATACACAGAAGCATACATACTTTAACGGACGCTCATTGATTAAATCATGTAAATCGCGTCGTCCTATGTTTTCTGTCTTACCACTCCGTCGTCGCTGTGCCTGCGCTGTCGCTGACTGGCACAACCCTAACACTGCTCCCTGTTACCGTTTTGTCAGCGGGGAGAACATCCTGCTGTTCCTGGTGCAGACGGTGGGCCGACAGACCACCGAACAGAAGGTGTACCGGCCCCGGCCCCGGACCGCCTCATCGGTCAGGAAGACGGTCGAACTCGGTAAGTTGGGGTACCGGGAGAGTCACTACAAGGCTGAAGTCAGTATTTGAGGGGCCAGGCTGCAGGGGGGGGGGGGGGGTCACCAGAAGGATCAACTCAGTATATGGGGTGTGAAGATGACGGGAGGGTCACCAAAAGGCTGAACTCGGTTATTAATGTGCGCGGTAACGGGCTAGATCGCCACTTAAGTATGGACTGGGCTAGAGCTTAGATGCGTGAATACTGAATGGTTATGTGTCTTCTGGTTTTGACCACATCATTATGTTGTGTACGCCGTTGTGCAGACATTGAGATGCCCGACCACGACCTGGAGCCGCCGCGGTTCGCCCGCCGCGCTCTGGAGACGCTGCTCAAGGACTGGCCGGCTGTCAGCGCCATGATCAACACAGGTGAGACGTGGCTTACGCTAATGGCCGGCGTGTGTTTTATCAGAGTTCAGAGTTATTCTGTAATATTCAATTCAGATCATGGCCTGCTCTCCACGGAGATCGGCATTTTGAGGCTGATGCGGAGTGTGACCAAGAACGCAACAAGCATTTGTATTTGTATTTGTATTTGACAGTTAAAACACTCTCCACAGTAAAATGGCTATTCCGAGTGTCGCGTCACGGTTAAAAGGAAAAACAAGTTAAGATACACTCATCAATCACATCAACAGAACACAATTCAAATCACACATTCATCCTTAAACACGCAGATACAACTCGGAAACAGAGCGAGCATATGACCAGCTGCCTATTTTCTTCGCTGCCGAATAAAAAACTAATCAACCTTATTCCAGATACGTTTCGCTATGACCTCTTGTAACTGAAGCTCGCCGTGCTCCATCTGACTCTGTTTTATGTGCGTCTCCAGGCAGCACAGCGAGCGGCGCCGAGCAGCCGCAGTCCGCCGCCACTAGCACCGGCAGCCGGCTCGGTCAGACGGGTACCACGCTGCTCGACAAGTTCGTGCACTGCCTGCTCGTCAAGTGCTCCGTAGAGGTGAGTTCAAAGATGGCAAAGTCAAATTAGAATTAAAATAGGTGAATTCAAAGTGGAGTTCAGTCGGGCTATTCGATAGTTTCCCGTTCTCTCACGATAGCTAACGGCTGAGTGCTTACTGCAAAGAAAGCTTCTTCGTAAAAGTATACAGCGAAGGGTATTTATGACCTCCTTCCTCTTCTGTCATGCTTTGGAGGTATGGTCCTCGTTAGTCTGAGTTTGGTCCTGGTTCTGAGTTCGTCTGGTTCTATCATCGATCCACCGTGACCCATGCCTCACACGTCTCTGGCAGATGCTGAACGTGCTGCTGACGACACTGATCCGTGAGATGCGCGCCCAGCCGGAGGCAGCCACGGCCGTGGCACGCCGCTTCGTCCGCTCCGTGGCCCGCATCTTTGTGATCCTCAGCGTCGAGACACCGCCCACCGGCGTCAAAAAGAAGAGGTACGTGAAAATATCCTTAGACACACTGACAGACTGTAGGATTAATCCTCAACGTATCTTGGGCTGCATTTTTATATAGTGGCAAAACAGTCAGAAGGCAATAAAAAATAGCGGCCACATTTGTTGTACTGCGTTCAAATCCTAATCTCTCGTAATCTTTGTAATTGTACGACACTGGCATAGACTGTACCTGACCCGCTCTCCGTGTGTGTTTCCAGCTCCGGCACGAGCACCATCCAGCGTTGCCGGCTGGTGTTCCGCAGCCTGCTCTCGCCGGCCGTCGAGGAGCTCTGTCAGACGGCCAACAGCCTGATCGCGCCCGTGCGCATGGGCGTGGCGCGGCCGACGGCGCCGTTCCAGCTGGCGCAGACCGGCCAGGAGGCGCTGCAGGGCTCCGAGGAGCTGTTCGCCGTCGAGCCGATCGTAGCCACGGTGGCCGGCGGCGCGGCGGGCGCTTCTCGCGCGCGCAGCCCGGCGCCGGCGCTGCAGCCGCGCGCCTCTGCCGCTGCCTCGTCGGCCGGTCCGTCGGCGGGCGGCAGCGGGTCCGGTGGCGGCTCGGTGCTCTACCAGCTCTCCCGAGATGACCAGGAGGATAATGACGGTGAGTGGGATCGAAGGGGCACGAATAGGCATGGGTGGGTCACCGCTCGGAAAGGACACGGTCGTCGGTGGTTCACATTTTCATTTGTGGCGTCAATTTGTGTGTGGTGTGCGTGCTTTTTACTGTTCTCGTTTTATCGTTAGTGCATTGCCATCACGCTGAATAATTCCTTATATGATCGTTCTTGGACAGTTGTTCCTAAGCTGGTTTTGCCTGTGGACCTGTGTTCACTACGTTGACATGTGGTCCGGTACCTGCAGGTGGCGGCTCGGAGCTGGAGGAACAGGCCGACCGCGCCGACCGCGAGGAGGGCGCCGGTGAGTCGGACATGGAGCTCGACCTGCTGGCGGAGACCGACTCCGATTCGGAGGACAACCAGTCGGCGCAGGACAACGTCTCGGGCGGCCAGCAGAGCGTGCAGACGCGCGCCACGGCCGGCTCAGACGCGGCGCTGGCCAGTATCGGTCTGTTCAGCGACGACCGCAGCGGCAGCCCGTCCGAGGCCGAGGATGAGGAGGAGGACTCCGAACAGGGCGAGACCGACGACCAGGAGACGGAGCTGTTCGGCGAGGACCAGCTGGAGCGGCGCGCGGGCACCGGCGCCGGCGGCGCGGCCGGCACCGGCACTGCCAGCGCGCGTGTCAACCTCACGCCACAGAGCATGCAGTGGGCGATCCGGTCGCGCGCCCAGGAGCCGGGCTCGCGCGCCACCGCCGGCGGCAGCAGTCTGGTGTACATCGACCCGAGCGCCAGCCGCCGGTTCACCACCAGTGCCGTGCCGTCGTCGGTGCAGAGCAGCGTGCCCGAGCCGGTCACCATGGCCACCACGGCGTCGTGCCTGGCGCGCGCGTTCGCGCTGGTGGTGCGTCAGGTGGCCGACCTGCTGAGCGTGGCGCGCGACTGCGGCCACGCGGACGGCTCGCTGCTGCCGCTGGGCGCCGAGCTGCTCGGCTCCGACTGGCGCCGTCTGCAGGGCTACCTGGAGCACCACCTGCAGCCCACCTGGGCCTGGCTACTGGCCGTCATGGACTCCACAGAGGCGCAGCTGCGCTTCGGACAGTCGCTGTCGCGCGCTGACCCGACTGCGCCGGCCGCGCCGGCCGCCGGGTCGACAGGCCCCGCGCGCAAGGAGCGCGGCCGCGGCGCGGTGACATTCGCCGATCACCAGACGGCGCGGCGCGACTTCCTCACCTACTGCCTATCGCTGATGCGTTCACACAACGGCGAGCACGCCGAGGCGCTGCCCGTGATCGACATCGCGGCGCTGCGCCACGTGGCCTACGTCTTCGACGCGCTTATCTACTACATGCGCTCCGGCTCGGAGCTGAAGGCCGGTCCCGAGTCGGTCGTCGATCGACTGCTCGACCTCGAGCCGGCCGACGACGGCGGCGACGACGATAACTCGGAGTCGGACGTGACCAACAACAACCCTGCGCCGATGGAGACCGACTCTGTGACGGACGAGGACTCCCAGCTGTCGGCGGCGTCGGCTCCGGCCGGCCGCGGGCGCCGTCACCCGTTCTTCCAGCGCTCCGACTCAACGCTGTTCGTGGGCGCGCCGCAGCCGGACCCGTTCGCCGGCTCGCTGTCAGAGGTGCTGCCGCTGGCCGAGCGGCCCCACCTGCTGCAGCCGACCGCGCGCCGAGAGGATCTGTTCGGCATCCCGCCGGCGGCGCCGAGCGGCGGCGAGCCGGGCCGCACCCACCCGCTGCAGGGCGTGCCCACACACCTGGGGCTGGCCTCACGCTCCGGCGAGCCGGCCGGCGCCGGCGCCAGTTTCCGGCCGGGCGGCAGCGGCGGCGCGCGCACGGCGTTCTCGCCGCGCAGCCGGCCGGAGCCGGAGCTGGGCGAGGGACTGGGTCACGTGGACCGGCTGCTGGAGGCCGGCTCGGGGCTGCTGCCCACGGCTGACGGAGACCAGCCGCAGAACCTGTCGACGCGCGGCGCAGAGGAGGGCGCACCGCCGCCGCGGGCGCCCATCATCGTGTCGCCAAAGAAGCCAGCCGACGGCGACCAACGGCAGTCGGTGAAGAGCGTGATCGTGCGCGTGGGCTCGATGATGGTTCACATGGACAAGGATGGAGGTGCGTCGTCGGATGGTGCCCGGCCCGGCCCGTCCGGCCAGCCGGCGGCGCCCGAGCCAGGCCCGTCGGGCGCCACGTCCTCCACCGGCTCCGAGCTGGATGTGTCTCAAGACATGCTGCTGGGCCGGTGGCACCTGCTGCTCGACTTGTTCGCCCGCGTGTTCATTGACGACGTCGGCCTGGAACAGGGCTCGGTCATATCAGAGCTGGGCGGGTTCCCCGTGAAAGAATCCAAATTCCGCCGTGAGATGGAGAAGCTACGCACCTCTCAGCAGCGCGACATCGTCTTCAACAAGATGGAGCGAGAGCGTTCGGCGCTCATCATGCAGACGTTCAAGGAGCTGAACACGCAGTACAGCACCAACAGCCGGCGCAGCACCGCCTCGCACCCGCCACTCGCCTTCAGTCGCGTCAAGGTCACCTTCAAGGACGAGCCGGGCGAGGGCACTGGTGTGGCTCGGAGCTTTTACACTGCCATCGCCGAGGCGCTGCTGCAGCCCAAACCGCTGCCCAACCTGGAGAGCTGCCAGACGGTTCAGCTGGGAAAGCCGTACGCCTTCACCTCGTACCACCACAAATACAAGAGCAGCAGGGACGCGTCTCAGGCGCGGCTGTCGCGCGGCCGCGAGGGACGGCGCACGCTGTCGTGTGACGCGCGCCCATTCACCCCGGGTCAGCTGAGCGACACGCGTGCCAACGACCACCTGTCTCCGCACCTGCAGCAGCTGGGCGCGCGCCTGTACCCGCGCGTGCGCGCGCTGCGGCCGCACCAGGCGCAGAAGATCACCGGCATGCTGCTGGACCTGTCGCCGGCGCAGCTGCTGCTGCTGCTGGCCTCGGAGGAGACTCTCCGGCAGCGCGTGGAGGAGGCCGTGGACATCCTGCACAGTCACAGCCGCGAGGCGGCCGCCTCGGAGTCTCTGCTCGGGGACAAATCCCGCCCGAAGACGGCGGCTCGTCAGACGAGTGAGGAGGAGGCGGCGGAGGAGCGCGACCAGTCGCCGCTCTTCTACTGCCCCGGCAAACGGGGCTTCTACGCGCCCTGGCAGGGCCGGCCCACCCCGGAGCGTATCAACGCCTTCCGCAACGTGGGCCGCATCATGGGCCTGTGCCTGCTGCAGAACGAACTGAGCCCGATCTCGATGTGCCGGCACGTGTACAAGTACATTCTGGGTCGGCCGGTGCGCTTCCACGACCTGGCGTTCTTCGACCCGGCCATCTACGAGTCGCTCCGCCAGCTAGTGGTGGACGCGGAGACCAAGGGCGACAAGGACGGACTCTTCTCGGCGCTCGACCTGTCTTTCAGGTCGGTGTGTGGGGTGATGAAGGATGTTTTGGTAGAGGGATGCAGTGCGAGACGCATGACGTGTGGGCGGCGTAGTAAGAGCTCGATTGGCAAATGGGGTTCAGACTGTCATGGCATTAGGGGTTGTAGCTAGCATTGGTTAATATCGCTCCTTTTTAAAGCGAGAGTAGGTGTATGGATGGATTAATTTCATTCGGACCTGTTCGCCGGCTCGAATATGCGACGAACATGTCATTCTTACTGCAAGTTTGCTCCGAATCATCGTGACACTGCCAACTAAAAGCACACGCTGTTTTGGTCAGTATGGAGGTTTTTCATCTTGTTGTTTGCTTGATTCTGACTAGTGTATAGCGATGCTAACCCTCGCTGCCGTTTTCCAGTATCGACTTGTGCCCCGAGGAGGGCGGCTGCACTGTTGACCTCGTGTCCCGCGGCGGTGACCTGGAGGTGACCTCGCAGAACGTCTACGACTACGTGCGACGGTACGCGCTGTATCGAATGGTCAAGTGTCAGCAGAAAGCGCTGGAGGTGAGCTCGTGGCTGCCATTGCCCAGGATTGCGCGCATATTGTCACAAACACTGTAGTTTTTACCACGGGTGACGTTTTCTTAATCCGTTCCTTGTTTTTGTTAGAAAAGTTTTATGCTAAGGCCCATTTGGGTACTCGCCCGATAATTAATTATTCGCTGCATGGAAATGCCGAGCTTGAAAATCACCTACATGGCTGCGGCAAAGGCCCATTTCCATTACCTGCAGGCTGTAGTCATTGTGATCTATTGGCATCGTTTCGATGTCGCTGTTTGTCTGACGTTTGTGTCGGTTTGAGTGATCGGTGGGCTGCTGCTGTATTTCGATATGTGCTGTTGCTGTTTGTTTCTATGTACGCTGATTGATCGCCTTTTCCCGTCAGGCGCTGCGGGCCGGCGTGCTGGACGTGCTGCCACAGACGGTGCTGGACCCGCTGACGGCCGAGGACCTCCGACTGCTCGTCAACGGAGTCGAGGACATCGCCGTGCCCACGCTCATCTCCTACACGAGCTTCAACGACGAGAGCGGCGAGACCAGCGAGCGGCTGGTGCGCTTCAAACGCTGGCTCTGGCAGATCGTCGAGAAGATGACCAAGGCAGAGAAACAGGATCTGGTTAGTACGCTGGGGTACGGGAAAGGGGCGGGCAAGTTACGGTGCATGGTCAACAAATTTTGTCTGAGTTACAAGGCTGATTATGTATCGCGTGATTGTATCATAACAGCACCAGCTGCTGGGTGATGGATCTATACGAGTTTAAACAATGTTATGTTCTTGAATCAGAAGGCTTCGCATTCGTTATCGTCCGTTGTTTTGGTGCGGCGCAGATACTGCTGTTCCTCCATCCCCACTCGCTCGCTGACCGTCTGCCCGGCGCCCTCACAGGTGTACTTCTGGACGGGCTCTCCGGCGCTGCCCGCCAGCGAGGACGGCTTCCAGCCGATGCCGTCCGTCACCATCCGACCTGCCGACGATCACCACCTGCCCACGGCCAACACGTGCATTTCGCGCCTCTACGTGCCGCTCTACTCCAGCAAGATGATACTCCGATCCAAGCTGCTGCTCGCCATTAAGACCAAAAACTTTGGATTCGTGTGAGGGGGCCGCCGGCGCGGTGGTAGCTGGATTATTCCGGCGCGAGACGGGATGGGAGGAAGGGAGGGGTGGGATGGGGGACGGGGAGGGCGCCGCTCTCGGCGCCCGGACAGCTCAGTGTCGTCGTCGTCGTCTCTCGCGCAGCGCGTGGTCCGTGTGGCGTCTGTGCCCGGACGCCCAGTGGACCGGCCGGGAGTGGGGCCGGTCGGCCGACCCGCCCGGGCCGGTCGGTCGGCCCGCTCCCGACTGTGGTCCACTCGATAGGTGTCGGACGGCGCGGTATTGTTCGTGGCTCGGCCGCTGTGGCCGATATATATGGTGAACGGCGTAAATCATCGGTGGAAAATAACATGGACACTTTCCGGTTATTATTGTTTCACAACCTTCATATTAAAAACGGGAGCGGACACACTAGGTGATTGGAGCTACGGCGCTCGGCCGGGGGAGGGCCGCGCGCACGGCAATGCTAGGAGCCGGCCGCCGCACGTCGCCGACTAGCACTGGTCTTATAAGTAAGGCACATCTCAACAGTGGCCGGACGCGCCGGCGGCACACACGCACACACACGCATTGCAGGGCTGAGGTGCTTGGGGCCGGCGCGGGCGGGCACCGACCGGGGCCCGACACGCACACTGACACACGCAGATCCGCAGTCAAACACTCTTGACACACGCGCCGGACGCAGGCAACCGGAGGGACTTGGGCCGCGCGCGCCGGTAGTCGATTCACCGACAGCGCTCCATCGCGGCGCCGTTTCATACGTCCCTCTCGACGATCAATCGCCGCCTCCGCTAGGACCGCGGCGGGGCAGCGGACGCTCACCACTGTCACTCTCGGCGGGGCCGTCCCGCGTGCGCCGCGGCGCTGGCGACACCGGGGCGTCCGAGTGGCGCCGACTACTTGCTGACGTGCCGGTTGATGGCGGGCCGGCCGGCGCCGTGCGTGGCGCGGTCGCTGCCGGAGCGGCTGACGCGGGCCAGCGTGCCGGCCGGCGCGCTGTTGAGACGCTCCAGGTCGCGCACCAGCTGCGCAGAGCGGTCGGCGGCCGACGGCCGTTTGGCCTCCTCCGAGCTGAGGCTGGTGGAGCTGGCCACCGGGGAGACGGCGTCGTCGCAGCCGCCCTGCCGGCACCGGACCGCGGTCAGCGGAAACGGGCGGGCAATCGGGGCGGTACAGAGGCATCGCGTGGCACAGGGAACAGAAAGGGCCTCGGTACGGAGAAAATCGGGACGTCACACCACGGGTTGGGCCGCGCGTTGCATCGGGGTGGCTATCATGGAGGCGCACGCAGAAAAAGGGCACCGGTCGACACACACAAGTCGCGCATAGTTTCGACGTAAATTCATCGGAACCTCGGCCTGATTAAACCCGCGCGGGGCTGGGGTCTCCAGCCGAACGCGCGGGGCTGCGGGGGGGGGGGGAAATTTTACCCCCCCCCCCCCTGTTATCTCCCGAACTAATGGTCCGATTTGGAAAAATCAAACGCCAATCGAAAGATCTCATCACGAACTACTAAAAACATATACTTAATTTAACCCGCGCCCTGCTGGGGGGGGGGGGTGTTTGAACACCCCCTTGTGGTTTGTCGCGAATATCTCAAAAACGGCGACGCTCCGCGCCGCCGTTTTTGGTACACCTTATCATACATCAATTCTACACATGTTGTGAAAATTTCAGACCAAGGTCATTCAAGGTCAGGTCACCAGGTCACTTGAAGTGACACCTCATAAAAAGTTTCAATGTCTGTCATAGCTACACCGAGTGACCGATCGCTTTGAAACTTTCAGCGATTGCTAAGAGCAATAGCATGTACAAAATGTATATCTCAGAATTTCGATATCGATGACCTAAGGTCAGGTCAATTTTGCGACCTCCCCATTATAAGTCAATAGGAGAAAATTGAAATGCGCCTCTTTTGGACGAAAGACATTATAAACACTCCCAAACACCGAATTACAAGTGGTTTAGACACACTGAACATGAAAATGGTGTCCGTGACCCTTGTTTGTGCCCTGAGGTCATCTTAGGTCACGAATGGTATCTTAAAGTTTTTCGCAAATAACTTTTGATAGAGGCATGCTAGAGCGATGAAAACGCCTTGTATGTGTTCAGCTCGACGATACGGATCGATTGATATGCAACATGACCCTTCTCGGTCAGGTCATGACCTTGACCTGAGGTCAAATTTTCAAGTTGACCCTTCAAGGTCAAGTTATAGTTCAATCGATGCGTCTTGACGAGAGGAACACGATGCCGGTGAAAGTAAGCTCGTACAAGGCTTGGGTCAAAAGTTATTGCAGAAAAAACTGTTTCCGAAAAAATCGGCTATTTTTGCAGTTTTTGCCCCCTGCAGGCAAAACCGTTGACGTTAGGTCAAATCTGAGAGAATTACTCAGAAAGGGCGTTAATAGGGCTATCGAATGCACTTTTCCGCGGCGCTGTAGCTCTATTGGTTCCCGAGTTATGCGTTGGCTTCTTGGAAATTTTCGACATTCGACCTGGAAATCGGCGAAATTTTGCCTTCAATGACCTCTGGTGACCTGACCTTTGACCTGACCAAAAAAATGACCGAAGTGATTTCGTCATTATTTTTGACGCTCTTTCGAACGCCGCCTTCCGCGTATCGCTACGTGGCCCAGGAGCAGAGTTACAAGGGGGGGGGTGTTCAAACACCCCCCCCCCAGCAGGGCGTGGAAATCCAGGACCCCCAGCCGGGCGCGGGTTAAAGTTTGAGGTCAAGGTCAAGGTCAGGTAAAGGGTACAAATTGCAAGTTTCTACGGTATCGGCCTTGCACCGTAGTTGCCGAAGAAGGGAGTCATCGACTGAGACTGATTGCCCAAAACGTGTTCTTAGGCTACCAAGACAATATTCGTTGCATACAATATCATTCAGTGGTCAAGGTCAAGGTCAGGTCAGGTCAGGTCAGGTCACCAAAAAACAAAATATGGAAAAGGGCATGTGCGACACATGTTTTATGGGCCATTTTACTCATAGAATTCAATAGGCACACTCAATAAGTGATATGGACCACCTCTGGATGAATTTCAGGTCGAGGTCAGGTCAAGTGAGGTCAAATTTTGAAGTTGGTTGTTAAGGCCTAAAAAGGTGTCGATCTGATGCAGTTTTTCACGGCGAATCGAATGGTGCTATTTTTGTTTCCGTACGAGGTCTAGAACTTCCAAAAAATCATTTTTAAAATTTTTGTGTGTCGTGACGTCATAGAATCTTGAATAACTCCCACATTTTTGAACCGATTCATCTAAAAATTGGTATGTAGGTGCACATAGACCACTTCTCTGACATATATTCCGGTTTTCTCGATACACTCAAAATTTTGGATTTTATAATTATTTTCCCAAAAAAGTCCGTTTTTTGAAAAAAAAATTTGGGCCAAAATCCAACATTTTCAAAAAACCGAGATAGCCATTGGATAGACAAAGTAGAATTACGTATAACCTTTTTTGTTGCGTCTTGATTCCTTTAAAAATGAAGATGTTAGCGGCGTTTGAACTTTTGCCGTTTTTGAGGCGAAAATGTTAAATGGCGAACATGACGTCACTAAAACGTCAATTTCTCGAAAATTTTCCGATGGATTTCGCTCAAATTTTCAGGGAACGTGTCAAATTGATGTAAAAAAAGGTACTGAAAGTTTGGAGGCGCTGCGCGCCGCCGTTTTTGAGATATTGCAAAAATTCGCGAGGGGGGGGGGGTAAAATTTACCCCCCCAGCCCCGCGCGGGTTAAGTCCCGAAGGCCACAGAAAATGGATCTGGGATAAACGCCACCTGCCTCTGAACGCGCCTGAAGCAGCCACTGCGGAGCACTTCGCATTAATTATGGATACTTATGCTGTCCAATTCTCGGCGTAGGTATCACAACTCACAAGCATATAATGCCCATTCTAGCTTGAGCAGTGATAGCGAATCTACAACAGTGCGGCTGCGAAACATCCTTCATCGGCAGACTGTACCGCAAGACACCCATGCGTTCCGGCACAGTATAGCATTCAGACAGACTTGCCGATGACAGACGGAAAGCGACGCATCATTTTACCCGATTAAATGGCAAGCAGATCATTCAGCAAGCTGTTAACTTGAATAAATAATCGATGCTGAGCAACAGGACAGGGCTATTATGGTCACGGCGGTGTGCAAAATGCCCGCGCCGGTGCCGGCACGAACCTACAACAGAAATGAAACGGATGCCGAATATTGTGAGCGTATTCGCACAAACATAGGGCCGCATTCATTAATGAGCTTTGTTCCGTCTTTCAGCACGTTAAGTCCCTGGACTCCGCTTATCTGACCTGGCTTGAAGGGTCCGTCTCGGCCATCGATTCATTGTCGACTGTCACCGTTTTTGGCCTTCACCCAGATAGTTGGCCCAGACCCTGTCCCGTGACCTCAGCCAGAGAGGAGACCTTGCGCCGGACAGTGATGGCCCCATTTCCGACAGATTTTCACCGTCACCATCCCCTCGCCCCTCGCCCTCCCCCTACCGACAGTGACAGACAAATGTGCCCACCAGTAAATATTAACAGGCTTAAGCTGTCACACCAAATGGTTTAGGTGTTCTGTCATATATAAAAAATGATGGCCCTGCTGCGAACACTTCGAGCTCCTTGGCTAACATCAATCGATTCAGATATTATTAAACGAAAATGAATATCCCGGCTGAATGCAATGCAATAAAACGTTCAAATGGAGTTCAAATGGATTACGATGTCGTAATGAGACACCTTAACACGCGCAGTGGAAGGGGGGGGGCGGATTTCGCCCACCCCTCCTGTTTTTTGCTAATAACTCGCGCCGCAAACATAATATTAATGTGAAATTTCGGCTACCTGTCCAGAATTGAATTGCGGATCTTCTCGTGCAAGAAATAAGAAAATCGGTTCGCAACTTTTCTAGTAATAGCGGTGTAAAGTCAAACATCCTGCCGCCGCGGCGGCGCGGCGGCGCGGCGGCCGGCGCTAGCCGTTACGCGCCGCCTGAATTGTAGACTGTGCCGGGGCGGGACGGTTCCGTCTTTACATCGCGCTCCTTACCGCTGATTATATTAGATTCGCGTCAAATTCGGTGAGAAGACTGAGAAATGTACAGGCAATCATATGGTCAAAGAATTTTGAAAATCGGCTGGTAACAATTTGAGTTATGAGTGTGTAAACACAAAATTGTGATTGCCGCGTTTCCCGCGTCGGCCGATCCCGCTTCAACCGGCGACATCTTACCCTTAGCAAGCTTCTAACTGCCATATTTATTGTTGGATTATCTAGAAATTCACCATACATACTCACAAATGTTTGTTCTTTCGTATAGTGAAAGAAAAAAGAAAATCGGCCGGTAACTTTTTGCGTTATCGGCGTGTAAACGCGAAAAAGTCGCTAATATGGCAGATTTGACCACATTTGACCTCATTTGACCTTGAAGATATTGACCTAGGGTCATGAAATTTACACACAACAGAGTTCCCCATGGCCCCCACCTACCCTTCAAATTTCGTCTTTCTAGCTCCAGTGGGAGCTGAGATCTTAGGGGGGGGGGGCGACATCCGCCCCCCCCCCTTCCACTGGGCGTAGTACTCGCAACCCTTCCACTGCGCGTGTTAATATGTTTTCTTTGAGCTGTATCCTGTATCATCGGCTCCGGCTCAGCATCTAACTTCTAAAATGTTCACTTATCGAGTGAAAATAAATCAAAAGTTGCTTTACTTTTGAGACGCGATACCTACCTACTTCTGAAGAAATAAAAGGTTTACTTGAACACGAAACATCCCGGGCGAACTAACTACGTTCATTGGAAACCTTTGTGTTCCTCCGTCTCCTATAAACGTCTCGCTAAGGATCTCCTAATTTTGAGCTGCCATTTGAAGCCGGGAGCCGCCCCACTCGCCGCCCCCAGCCGATCCCGGCATCTGCGTACGTCAGCCGTACCTTGTCTCTGACGGCGCTGGCGGCGGCGTCGCGTTCCTCCATGCTCTGCAGCTCGGAGACCAGCACCTGGACGTGGTCGAGCAGCTCGCGGTTGTGCAGCAGCAGCTGGTGGGTGCGCGCCTGCGCCTCCAGCCGGGCGGCCGTCTCGGCCTGCAGCTGGTCGCGAACCAGGTGCACCTGAGCCAGCGCCGCCTGGGTCTGCTGTTGCTGCTGCACCAGCCGCTCCCGCATCAGCTGAACGGCACACGGGACAGGGTACAGGCGTCAGCGATGGACGGACACAGGGCATCAACGGCGGATGGGACACGGGCGCGGGCGTCATCGGTCAATGGTCAACGATCAACGACCGTCTGACAAGCAATGTCCCGTGGATGCCGGGCTATCAAAACGCTCTAATGTTCAAAAACAATGGCGTGGTGCCCCCAATAGCGTGAGGACGTGAGGAGAGCATGAACATTGACGTGAGGAGAACATTTACCTACCACCATCTTTATCAAAGCAAACTAGCGGGTGAAACCACGGCAGGATGTCCCTGCAGGGTGATTCCCAACCGTAAACTCCAGCTCGAAACGGCCAAACAAGCAGTGCATCTGCGATTCCGGGCGGTGCAATCCCACCAAGACGTTGTGAGTCAGCCGGCGGCTGTTGCTAAGTTTTTCGCTAGCATTTTTGTCGTTAAAGAGTCGGCCCAATCCGTCACCTAGTTAGTCACACACCACGGGCCGTCCCGGAGGCAGTGGGGTGCCACCGAGTCCGCAGGTGTTTATTCCGGTGCGGCGCTGGGAAACCCACGATCTCAGCGTCGGTCTCCACCGGTCCCGGGACCCGGCGGAAGCTCACCGAGCGCGGCGGCGGCTCACCTGCAGCTGGTGATAGAGGGACGAGGAGCCGGCCAGCCGGTGAACGTCGTGCAGCTGCTCCGGCGCCGGCGCCGTCAGCGCGTCCGGCGACAGGGTGGCCGCGCGCCGGCCGTCCATCGGACTGGCCGGCACGCTCAGCGCCTCGAGCAGCATGTGCCGCCGCTCGGCAGCCATCTGCGGCAGGCCGCCCAGCGGCTCCAGAAGCCGCCGCTCTGCCGGCGAGCACGAGACGCGGTCGCGGCGCGTGGTGCGCCGTCCGTCCGGCGAGCGCGGCTGCTCGGTGGCGGCGCGCGGCCGCTCCGAGGGCGACTTGGGCGGCTTGCGCGTCTCGGTGGGCTCCGAGGCAGGGGCCGGCTCGGAGACGACGGGCTGCTCGCCCGACAGCGGCGATGGAGGAGTGTCCACGCTGGGCTGCTCTGACGACGTGTCCGTGGGAGCTGGGGAGGTCAAATCAGGTCACATAAAAGGGTTTCCACTCAGTCGGCAGAAAAAAAACATCGGGACCGAGACATCAGTTCCCCTCCACTTACACTAGTAATCTGGTGCAACCGGTCCGCCAGTTCACTCGAGAGAGATATTATGTATACATGGATATCAATTACCTATTTCTGGTTAAAAGTGTCCCCCAACTGTGCGAATAAAGCTTATAATTTGCCGAGAACCGAGCTACGATAAGCGTTAGCTTTAGCTATCTTGAAAGCGATAATCTCGGCTCACAGGAGCCGCGAGCAGGTAAAGTCGGGTAATGACCTGGGTCCTTATCCCGGCCGGGCCCGGGGGGTAATCCCAACCACCGCAGCCCGGGGGGGGCGTTTTTCGCCCCCCTGTCTAACTCCGTAAATAAGGGAGCTACGGAAACAAAAGCGATACCAAACGAAAGGTCCTTACGAGACGATTCTAATGCACATAAAATTTTTGACCTCAGGTCAATTTTCAAGGTCAGAGGTCAAGGTCAAAGGCCAAAACCAGCACATGTGTAGTGATCTCAAAGTAAGCCTTCTAGAGGACGGCAGGCTGCATCAAACCGGCAAAATTGGGTGTCAAACGAAAGAAGAGAATCTGAGGATTCTGAAAATGTGCTCCAAATCAAAGGTCAAGGTCAAGGTCACGCTCAAAATTGACCTCAAACTTAGCACTTTTTCGCACATCTTGCGTGCTAACTTCCAAGATGTTTTGAAATGTTTTGAGGCTTATCAGTTCCCTATTTGTGGTTTATCTTACGATACAAGGCTGATCAAAGGTCAAGGTCACAGAAGAGTATCCCTGCTAGAGGCTATTTCACTGATTCAAGTTAGTAATAATAAATACCTAAGACAATTTTGCTATCCGGAAGCTCTAAATGAAGGCTTAGAGGAAAATAGATGCCAGATTCGTGATCAGCGGGTACAAATCCATCATAAACGACCTTTCATGTGTCAGGGTCAACCAGACCCAGCCAGCCTTCCCAAATGGGGCCCATATGGGCCCCAAGTGGGCAGCAAACTGGGGCCCATCTGGGCTGCCCACTTGGGGCCCAGATGAGTTTGTCATGGGCGTCCAACTGGGTCCCATATGGGCAGCCCAGATGGGCCCCATATGGGGCCCAGCCGGGGCACATATGGGTCCCACATGGGCTTTCCCAGCCGGGACCCACATGGGTATAATTGAAGAATCCCACATGGGGCCCATGTGGGTTCGAAATGGGACCCATATGGGGCCCAGCCGGGGCACATATGGGTCCCACATGGGCTTTCCCAGCCGGGACCCACATGGGTATAATTGAAAAATCCCACATGGGGCCCATGTGGGTTCGAAATGGGACCCATATGGGGCCCAGCCGGGGCACATATGGGTCCCACATGGGCTTTCCCAGCCGGGACCCACATGGGTATAAGCGAAAAATCCCACATGGGGCTCATGTGGGTTCGAAATGGGGCCCATATGGGTAGCCCATCTGTAGCCCATGTCCCACTGGGCCCATCTTGCCCATGTTTACCCCATATGGGACCCACATGGGATGCCCATCTCCAGCCCACATGCGTTTGGCCCACCTGGCCCATTTTTATCCCATATGGGGCCCATATGGGTAGCCCATCTGTAGCCCATGTCCCACGTGAGCCCATCTGGCCCATGCTCACCCCATATGGGACCCACATGGGATGCCCATCTCCAGCCCACATGCGTTTGGCCCACCTGGCCCATTTTTATCCCATATGGGGCCCATATGGGTAGCCCATCTGTAGCCCATGTCCCACGTGGGCCCATCTGGCCCATGTTCACCGCATATGGGACCCACATGGGACGCCCATCTCCAGCCCACATGCGTTTGGCCCACCTGGCTCATTTCTATCCCATATGGGGCCCATATGGGTAGCCCATCTGTAGCCCATGTCCCACGTGGGCCCATCTGGCCCATGTTCACCGCATATGGGACCCACATGGGACGCCCATCTCCAGCCCACATGCGTTTGGCCCACCTGGCTCATTTCTATCCCTTATGGGGCCCATATGGGTAGCCCATCTGTAGCCCATGTCCCACGTGGGCCCATCTGGGACCCACATGGGATGCCCATCTCCAGCCCACATGCGTTTGGCCCACCTGGCCCATTTTTATCTCACATGGGGCCCATATGGGTAGCCCATCTGTAGCCCATGTCCCACTGGGCCCATCTGGCCCATGTTTACCCCATATGGGACCCACATGGGATGCCCATCTCCAGCCCACATGCGTTTGGCCCACCTGGCCCATTTTTATCCCATATGGGGCCCATATGGGTAGCCCATCTGTAGCCCATGTCCCACGTGGGCCCACCTGGCCCATGTTCACCCCATATGGGACCCACATGGGATGCCCATCTCCAGCCCACATGCGTTTGGCCCACCTGGCCCATTTTTATCCCATATGGGGCCCATGTGGGTAGCCCATCTGTAGCCCATGTCCCACGTGGGCCCATCTGGCCCATGTTCACCCCATATGGGACCCATGTGGGCATGTTTGCTGGGGCTCAGCCCATATGGGACCCAGATTTAGCCCAGATAATAGCCCACATGTAGCCCATGCCCACTTAAGCCCAGATGCCCCACTTTCAGCCCATATGGGCCCCATTTGGGAAGGCTGGCTGGGGAGGTCATTCGAGGTCACATGAGGTCAACATGAAACTCGACCTTTTCCGAACAAAATATATATCATTCGACGCGGCTTGACAAGACGAATGCGATGGTACCACTGCCGTAGCTCTAGGACCATTTTTGTCGAAGTTATTTGCGAAAAACTAAAACCACATTTCGGGGTCGTTGACCTGACCTCTGACCTCAGGTCACCAAAACTATTTTTCTATTTTTTTCTAGGTCAAACGCTACACAGCCGTGCTCGTAATTTGTCTTTATCTCTAAAACTCTATTTTTAGCAGCTATTTGAAGTTTGCGTCTGTGACGCCGAAGTTTGCCGTGCAGGGGTCTAGAAAAATGGACCTTGTGACGTCATCAAGGGGGCTAGGTCCAAATTTTTTACTTCAGAAGATGTCAAATTGATGGGAGAAAAGGTACTGAAAGTTTCGCCTTCCTATCCCTAAGCGTTCGGGAGTTATGGCAAATATTCGCCAGGGGGGGCGAAAAACGCCCCCCCCGGGCCCGCGAGGGTTATAAACACGTTAAAGCAATCCTGATACACAACGAACAAAAACTCGACATAAATTTGAAAAAGGCAATGGTAATTGCCTAATTGCCTTTAATTGCCTAATTGCCTTTTTGGCATTTTCCTGCCAAATTGCCTTTTTGCCTGCCCAAATTGCCTGCCCGCCTGCCAAAAAGAGCTGGGCTACTGCGCGTATCAATGCACTTACGTAACTCCTCGCTAGATGGCACTGGCTCCACACGCCTGAACTGATGCTGTGCCGCATGGCACAGAGCCGTAAACTGCCGACGGGCGACGATTCTACATACTCATGCGTGACAGACACATCGCAAGCCTTTTCTGCTTGTGCTATTTTAGCGCCGAAAGGTATAAGTTATTTTCCATTCCTATATTGCTGGATGCTGAGTCATCACTGGAAGGCTAGCTTTCAGGTAGGTATAAAGATTTCGTGTTTTTTCAGCGCAGGACAGGCTGGCGGTTCCCGTGGCGCTCGGCAGTGACAGCGGCAGTCGTGCCCGCTAACGGCCGCACTTCAAGCCAAGACAAATGCGCGAAAAGCGCGCCGACACGCATGATTTGTTGGCGGGATATTTCGGTCGGCAGCTGGCACTCGGCCAGAGTAACCAATTGCCTTCCCACTTAAAATGAGATGTGAGACGCGCTTTACTACCACCATAGATCTGGCCCGGCTGGCAGCCGGGTCCGAACCCGAGACGGGCGCCGCGGCCGGCTGCAGTGTTCGCGGCGTCAGTTTGTCAAAACCAACGTAAACAGCGGCGGCCGTCGGCGGTTGTGCCGGCGGCGAGCGTCTGGAGGATGCCGCCGCGGGGTGCCAGCTCGCTCGGCTCGGCGCCTGGCAGCCGCCGCGCCGCCCACGCCAGCGCCACAGCCGCAACCGAGGCCTCCTCCAGTTCAGCCGCCGGAGGAGCGCGGCTGCGGGGAGCGGTACTCGGGTGCCGGGGCCTCCGGCGTGCTCTAGCACCCCTCCCCCCCCAACCGTCAGGTGATGCCCATTGTATGACGTCACGGCGGGCCGAAATACCGTCCGAGAGGCGGCCGGCTGCCAAGGCGCGCCGCCGCCGCCCGGCTGGGAACGGAGCCGGGTGCGGACGGCACGACACCGGCGCCAGCCTCTGATGGATGGACGCAGAAACGCCGAATGAGCTTAATCGCCCGAAACTGCGCTCGAGCTGTCAGTCGGAACAATAAATATATCAAACCGAGTTAAAAGCTAAGGGAGTTCGGATATTAATTACAACGGCTACCGACAAAAAAGTGCATAAACAACAAGTCATATGATGGTCAGCGAAAGACCGGCGACCGTCCAGCATGATTCCGGTAGCAACTTTCCTTTCACATGACATAACATGTAGTGCAGCAACTAAACCACATAATTTCGACCGTCTGTTATGTGCACAAGCACAGGCAGAACTATCAAATGAAGCGCAGTGACATGAGGCCATAATGACCATGTGACCCGCTGACCAGGCGGCAGTCACCCGCATATGTTCGCGGACGGCTGGCGGCAGCGGTCGGCCAACTCCCACGCCTTGGGAGCGCGCCAGGGCGGCGGTCCACGCTCCGTCCCGCGTCCATCGGCCGTCTGACACAGTATTGATAGGCGGCCAGCCGGAGTACACGGGACGGATACGTTAGGAGAAACGGCGACATGGGACAGATACAGAGATAGAGATATGACCTTCAGGTTGAGACGGATGGGAGAGTTCAGCACTCAGGCGATGACGGAGGAGGGACGTGATGAGAGCGAATCGGCCTTGTGTTGGCCGTGTTCCCGACACAACTCGACTGAATTAATGGGCGTCATTCATAAAGTCTGCGGTAGGTAAAGCCCGCATATTGTCTGCACCACAAAACGGAGTCTGATGGCTATTTTTGGTTTCTTCGTCTACAGATGTGTGCTGATAAAAGATGTCAGAACATCAGTTAATATGGCAATGTTACGATATCCTACATATGAAGCAGTTTATTGTTTTTTATTTTGGTTCGGAGACACACCAAGAGCGCCAACATCCAGCGGCATCTGCTCAGAAGGCCGAGCGCCAGCCGAGCGGTCCGCCGCTGCCGGTTATTCTGCTCAGTGCTCGCTGCTCGGGCCCGCCGCCGGTGTGTCTGTCGCCGCGAAACGAGCGGCCCTCACCAGCACGGAGCGGTGCCAACATCAACCGGCCGGGCCCACCGGCGAGCAGTCAAACTCAGCCGGCCGCAGAGCCGATCGCGGCGGACCGGTCCCAGAGTCTTACATATGTACAGGGCTGTCCCACAGAGCCGATCGCGGCGGCCCGGTCTCAGAGCCGGTCGCGGCGGCCCGGTCTCGCGGAGCCAATCGTGGCGACCCGGTCCCGGAGTCCTACATGCTGGGCTATCCGCAGAGCCGATCGCGGCGGCCCGGCCCCAGAGCTGGTCCCGGCGGCCCGGTCCCAGAGTCCTACATACAGGCCCGGTCCCAGAGCCGATCGCGGCGGACCGGTCCCAGCAGAGCCGATCGCGGCGGCCCGGTCCCAGAGTTTTACATACAGGGCGGTCTCAGAGCCGATCGCGGCGGACCGGTCCCAGAGTTTTACATACAGGACTGTCCCAGAGCCGATCGCCGCGGCCCGGTCCCAGGGTCCTGCCGCCGGTCCGACGGCCAACACATGGGACTCAGGACCCATCACCCAGCCTATGTCGGCACCGCAGCCGTGCTCCAGTCGACACACAGCAGCCGGTTCGGTCCGGAACACAGAGCCGGTTCGGTCCGGAACACAGAGCCGGTTCGGTCCGGAACACAGAGCCGGTTTGGTGCGGAAAACAGAACCGGTTTGGTCCGGCATATAGCCGCCATTCTAGTCCGGCCCGGCACACGCAGCCGTATTCTGCTAGGCGTACACAACCGTGCTTTGAGCGCAGACAGCATCGCGCTTTGGCACTTAGCTCAGTAAATCGGTGCCAAAGAACAAGTGCTCATTGGCTCCAGCGGTTCTTGCAAACTTTGTATATTTACACCGCTCAACTTGCTTCAAAAACATGTCAGTTTCATGTGTGTGCTTCCCATACAAGCAACAGGCGTATATCATCCGAGTCGTGTGTCTGTCACAACTGAACACATCTTATCTTGATCTTGTGTGTGACCCACTGTTATTTCACCTGAGACCAATGTCAGCGCAGAGCGGCAGTATTTTGACCGCAGCATAAGCACCTGCTAGCTGATCTCGGCGTCGGCGCCGTCTGGGACCTGACCCAAGCGGCTTGTGTTGGCCGCTGCCGAGTCTCGGCGGTCACGGTCACACGTGGCTGGGCCTGACACGATGGGTTTACACTGACGGCGAGTGGCGAGCGGTGAGCCACCGGCCCCGGCTGCCCGGGCGATGGGTGTAGGGGTAGGTGTGCACTGTGCAGTGTGCAGCGCAAGCCTTCCCAGTTGTCTCGCCCACCGGTCAACAAGACGGTGATGTCACGGTGATTTACCGCTCAATGCACAGCTGTAATACCGACCACTCTCGCGAGGGTCAGCTAATGCGGTCATAGCCGTTTAATCACGTCTTGAAAGCAGTACATATAATCGAACTGCTGGCTATTCAATCCACGTGCACGGTGAGAAGCGTTTGGACTCCCCGTCTAAGTTTTATTTTTTTATAAAACCTATCTTAAAGCGGCAGTAGAAACGTCAGGCTATATGCTTAAAATCTTCAACGATTTTATGATCAACGGTTTGACGAAACGCAATTTAACTCTCTAACTTGTCACATGTGCATTAATTTTTTGCGTTGGTCGGCCACACTGTCTGCATGTGCGAAGCAGAGTCCGTTTTCGCTGCATCTTGGGATAAAAACGACATCGTACTCAGTGCTCGCGTCGTTAGCTCATCGCGCTCATCGCACAGTGTCGTTTCATTGGAGTTGCTTGTTGTTAGACCTAGTTTCAAAGAAGTACATCTTAACCCGCGCCGGGCCGGTGCTCTGAGATTCCGCGCCGGGCCGGGGGGGGGGGGTGTCTGAACACCCCCCCCCCCCTTCTAACTCGGCTCCTGGGCCACGTAGCGACACGCGGTAAGCGGCAATCGAAAGAACGTCCAAAATAAGGACGAAAACACTGGGTCATTTTTGGGGTCAGGTCAAAGGTCAGGTCACCAGAGGTCACCAAAGGTCAAATGCCCACTATTTCAACATTTTGGAAACTGCCAATGGCTATCTCGGGAACCGATAAAGCTACAGCGCCGCGGAAAAGCGCATTCGATAGCCCTTTTACAGAACTTTCTGAGTAATGTTCTCAGATTTGACCTCAGGTCAACGGTTTAGCCTCCAGAGGGCAAAAACTCCAAAAATAGCCGTTTTTACGAAAAACGTTTTTTCGGCAATAACTTTTGACTCAAAAGAGCCACGACATTACTTTTGCCACCATCGTGTTCCTCTCGTCGAGACGCGTCGAATGAACTATAATTTGACCTTGAAAGGTCAACTTGAAAATTTGACCTCAGGCCAAGGTCATGACCTGACCGGAAAAGGTCATGTTGCATATCAGTCGATCCGCAACGTCGAGCCGAACACATCTAAGGCGTTTTCAGCGCTCTAGCTCGTCTCTATCAGAAGTTATTAGCGAAAAACTGTTAGATTCTGTTCGTGACCTGAGATGACCTCGGGGACATAACGAGGGGTCACAGTTGCCATTTTCCGGTTCAGTGTATCCATTTTACCTATATCTCGATGTTTGAGAGTGTCTAGAATAGCGTTCGTGCAAAACAGACGCTTTTCAATTTTCTCCCATTTTCTATAATGGGCAGGTCGCAAAATTGACCTAACCTTAGGTCACCGATATCAAAATTCCGAGATATACATTTTATAGATACTGTTGCTCTAATCAATCGCTGAAAGTTTCAAGGAAATCGATCAATCGGTGTAGCTATGACGAGCATTCTTATTTTTTTCTGAGGTGAGGTCACTTAGCGTGACCTGGTGACCTGACCTAAGGTGACCTGGGTCTGAAATTTTCACAACATGTGCGGAAAAGATGCACCAACAGGTGTGCCAAAAACCGCAGGGGGGGTGTTCAAACACCCCCCCCCCCCGCCCGGCGCGGGTTAACAGAGTTGAAAAAAAAAATATATAAAATTAAGGGACAGCCTCAGGTCATTGAGCCCAGTCTCGGTAAAGAGGTGTTTTATTTGTAAACTAACTATCAGTGTCATTAATAAAAACAGCCTGACATTTGCTGGGCCAAATGGACGTTGAACGGCCCCTTTCCAAATTCCACTATCAGAAGCCTTTTATAAGGAGCATCATCGTCTCTCGCTGCGCTCAAGCCGCTCAGTGCCCTGTCGGCCTTCTAAAAATGGCGTCGGGCCGTTTAAAACTCATAATCCATAACGCTCTCCGGTCACTTTATTCGTATGTATTATTGACATTTAAATATGACGACAGTTATTGATGACATGATTTCACGAGTGGTTCAGAGGTACCTAAGCTATTCTTAGAAGACTCAGCACCCGATGAGTGCTTGTTGCCCTTGGCTCTGCAAAGGATGTTGTACAGTTGCGATCGAACAGAGCTCTTGTTGTTTGCTGCTCAGTCTGCCAAGCTAAATGTGTTTACATCCTGAGAAGCTCCAGCGTGCTCCTGCTGTAGCTTAAAGTGTGACCGCAAGTAGGTAAACGGGTGGTCTCAAACAATGCTGCAAGGGATTCGTGTTGGGCTAGCCATTTTTAAAAAAGTACACGTGTTATAAGCATGTTGATAATGAAGATACTTTAGCATGATAAACTCGACAACGATTTTGCCTAGAAAATGGAAACACGACAACATAGGAAACACGACATATATCATAGCAGAATGAAAACAAAGAGAAACTAGGTAAGAGCAGCACCATTCGTTACACGTGATCTTTGCGAAATGTTTTTAAATTCAACGCAAGCAGATGCCTCTTTTTTTAAATACGTAGGGTACGTACCTAGGTATCAAGCTAAGTTGAGCCTACGGCAAAATGATGGACTGTAAAAGATTCAAAATACTTGGACCGGCATGACATGTCAGTTTGCGTGAGCCCAGTCTTTCACGCGGATGACGCAGGACGGCCTTGACCCAGGCGCTGGCAAATAAGCTTATAGTCACGACTCATCAAAGCTTGTAGTTTCAACTGTTGTCTTCCTGTACCATGGGCTGAGTGATAGCCTGACCCACGTACAGCTCGGCTCGAAAATTCAATCAACACGATTGAAACATTAACATTTAATACCATTAACACTTATGGAAATTCTCAGCGTTAATGCCCTCCCTTAAGGCCCACTCTGCTCACGCTGTTCCTTCGCTTCAATAACATGATTCAGGATAGCAACTCGAAATTTGTTGCTTCATCTAAAGCCGTAATGCATTGGGGACTATTTTGCCAGCATTAACTTTATCAAGAAACAATTTAAATACTGGTCCCAGTTCCCATAACACATTGATTGTGAATTTCATTTATGATTTTAAAGATACTTATTCGTTGACAATATAAGGCCCGCCTCGGACCCAGCCCAGTTTGGTCCCAAATCGTACGCTAGCCGGACCCCACCTGGCCGTCACTCTCCGATCAGGCCCGGCCGACCCGGGGACGGCCGGTCGGCGGTCGGAACTCACCTGGCGGCGGCTTTTTGGCCGCGTCGGCGCTGCTCGGCTCGCTGTCCGAGTCAGACGGGTGGTTCAGCGGCGGGGCGGCCGACACCGGCACCGGCACGGGCGAGGGTGCCGGCGCCGGGGCCGCGGCCGGCACCCCTCCGGCCGGGGACGCGGTGGAGGTCGGGCTGGCCGGGCTCGCCCCCGGCTGGTCTGCTAGACTGGCCTCTAGACTGTGACACACTTCGAAGGCTTGGCCGACTGTCCGGACCACTTCTAACGCTTGGCTCTGCCGGAGAAGGGAAAATGGGTTAAGAACTTGGCAATGCGCGGTCAGAGTGAGTAATTTTGATTTAAGATGCAATTCAAATTGACGCATTTTCAAATATCTTAAGTTATGCCTGGATAGCGGATAGATCGTCAACTACTTATACTAGATAAAATCATAGGCAACCCTTTTACGAGCACCATAGTCGCGCATCACATCACAGTGTCGTTGTCTTTCGGTTAACTCCTGCTATCATCCCACCGCGGGACCGCCCCTAGGAACGCACTGTCCCCCGACAGACATCCCTGGGAGCCGTCGCAGCGTGACCGGCGACGCTCCCATGTCACCGCTATCTGGGCCAGGGCGGCACCAATAGGGCGTCCACAGCGCCTCACTTGGCCGGCCGTGACGCCGCTGATGGCCACCCCGAGGGCGCGTGACAAATGTGGCGCGCACGACCGCAGACAAACGTGGCGCACGCGGCGTTTGTCTGCTGAAGCCAAGTCAGCGCGACACACGAAGCAGGAACAGGAAATAGAACAGGAGTAGGACACTGGCTGAATTATTGCCCGCTGGCAATGTGACGATGATTAACTTAACGACCGTCGGGCCACGTGGTGAGTGTGTCGAGAGGTAGGTGGGGGGATGGGGGGAGGCAAAAACACGCAGCGGCTCCGGAATGCGCGGCGCACGCAGAGCTGCCAGCTCGGGACACGCTGCCTGCCGCAGATCTGGGGCGGGCCGATTTGGCTCACCAGACGAATCGCTAGGCGCTTCATAGGTATGCGATCGCTGCTAAACGTTGCTGAAGGTCTTTCAAGGCACTGCATGTAGGTGAAAAACAGGATGACTTTCAAGTATAAATTCTTTCAAGGAAGTAGGTAGCATATCATCAACGTTAGGAGCCTCTACGACACAATTTTGCCTTGATTATGTCCGATATCAGTTGCCTAAAGACGTCTGACGTTCTATGCGTTTATTAGTTTAAGGTATTTACCTACCTAAAACTGTGTTTATCACTTTGTTAATTTATCAAACGTCTTACGTCTAATCGCTATTCTGTTTATCCGCGTTTATTAGTTTTAGGTATTTACCTAAAACTGTGTTTATCACTTTGTTAATTTATCAAACGTCTTTTATACGTCTAATCGCTATTCTGTTTAACCAGCCTTTTTGTATGAATGCTTCATAAAGGAATCCAGATATGCGTTTTGAGGGATAGGAGTCACTATGCGTTCAGCCTTAAGTTGATTTAAAAGACGCCTCAACCTTATATCGAATTTCAGACTCCACAGCTTGATAGCTAAAGATGATTTAAAGGAAAAGGGCCACCTTTAACATGGGGATTGAAACTGAGATAGCCATCCTGTAGCCCGTGTCCGAAAACCCTCCAGTCTATCTCCTTACGGCCGATTTCGGCTTCCATTCGTAGGTATCGGCAATTTTAACAGAGGAATGCGTCCTTATCCCAGGAATGCGTCCTTACCCTGTAATACAGCCACCCGCGGCGAGGCTTTGGTTTTTTTCCAATCAGCTCCATTCAGCTCAGCTTTAACCAATCAGCTTATCTGACACAATCCGAGTCTGTCTTCTGAACGCTGATTGGCTTGAGTGTGACGTCATCGCTATGCCATCATACAGTAGGTGCCGTAGAGAGTATCAACATAGTACCAATATGTTAAATAGTTTTAAATACTTTTTCGCGAATTATGCACTTCTGGCACCAGTTTTAAAAAGAAAATGAAAAATAATAATGTCAAAATGAAAAACAACGATATCTTCATATTTCACGAAGGTGGCCCTTTTCCTTTAAACGATTGAACAAGACAAGTAGACCCCTATTAAAGCAACGCTAAAATATGCCAGGGAAATAGTAGAGGATAACGGCATAAAATGATTAAATCGCTAATAAACAGAAACATCTCTTTAACGTCTCGTCAAACAGCTAACGATAAAAATTCTACCCGCTGCGATTCGATATATAATTTGTCTATTGTCGCAGTTCAGCGCAAAGCCCTGTATTATCGCGGCAAGATGAAACGGTCACTCGCCGAAGCGCCGAAGCAACTACGGTTGTGCTGGCAGAACCAGGGAGCGACTGTCTGGACCGGCGGAGACGACACTACACCAATATAATACGCAAACCCAAGAAATGAAATTATCGTGCCTTATTTGCCTAAATGAAAAACACTGCCACCAGCTTATCTGATTCCGCTTATACGAGTAACTATTTGGGGCTGTTTGTCGAGGCAGTTAACACTACCACAGATCTGGTGGAAGATATAACGCTCTTCAAACTCAAAGATAAAGCGATCCATGGTTCATGTCCGCCAGCTTCAACCAAATCAAATTCAAATAAACTCAACTCGGCGCTGAGAGAAGTGTTCCAGAAGTTGAACGGCAGAACAAACCACTGGATTGAGATCCAGATGAAGATCATATACACAACTGTGGGTCCAAATAGCCTGAGGACTCGATCGTGATGACCATAATTTAACTGTAATTTCCAATTTAGTCGGAAAATTGACGCCTTAAAATAAGTGATATAAGCGACAGACATTTGAGAACCATTATTCTAAGATAGACGCGCTGGCTGGGAAGCGGACAAATCGTCGATACCAAAAGATCGTACTCACTGGAAATAGACTACTTGTCGTCGGCCGTCAGACTTTCCGCCATGCTGACGGGAGGGAAGGTATATACAGCCCAGCCTCACCTCTAGACAGACATCCTCCAGGCTCGCCGCGCCCACCACCGCGTCGTTCGCGATCACATCGAGGAAGTGCTGCTCGTCGGCGGCGGTGGCGGCGGCGGTGCGGCGCGCCGGCGACGGCGGCGTCTCAGCCCGCCACCCGTCCGCCTCCGGTCGCGGCTTGATGATGGAGCGGTCGGCACGGCCGTCGGTCCGCTCCGAAGGCTCGCGCACTTGCCGGTACTTGTCACGACCGACGATCTCCGGGTCCCGGAAGGAGAGCTTCTTGCGCGGCCGCTGCCGCTCGCCGGCGGGCTTAGCGACCTCCGGCTCGGGGACCATGTTGAGCGTCATGCCGTCTCCGATGACGGTCCGGCTGGCTGTCTCCAGCATAGGGGGCACGCCGGAGGCGGCGGCGGCGGCGGCGCTCGGCGGTGGCACCACGTCACTGCTCGCGCGCGGCGACACACCGTGCGGACATGGCCGAGACGCACCCGCTGCGGCCGGCCGTCCGCCGACGCCTACCGCCGCGCCGCACCGCCAACAGGTGGCGGCGGCGGCAGCTGGAGCTCCGCCAGCCAGCCGCGTCACGGTCAGAGGCCCGCCGACGCTGCCGCTCGCGCCGGACGCCATCGCCCAACGCTCTGTCGTCAATTCGAGACTGGATGACGTCTGGACTTAATGTGGCATTTCATTATTCTTGAATTTGTAAGTACGATTCCGCAAATGTTTTTCCGATATTTTAGCTTTCACTGTGTTAAGCCGGAGCTTCAGACACGAACTGCATTTTCAGGTCAGGTCAGGCCAGGTCACTGACTCACGACGCCATAAGTGAGCCTCTGCACCGTCAACTTCGCCACACTCTCAGTGGCAGGTAGGGAGATGAACTTACAAGATTTAGCAGCAATCCCAGCCCTCATAAGCAGTACATCTGATTTTCCATTACTGTCGCCTGAAGTCAGGTCAGCTACGTGACCTCACCATCTCATTCTCTTACACAGTTTTGCTCACCATTAAGGTATTTCAATAAAAACCGAGCCACTTCCTCTGGCTCCTTGACCGTACTTCAAAGGCCACCAGTTGATCTAAGACCTTAGACTCGAGTATCGGTCGCTCCGTCTCGTATAGCGGCGCACACACTGACTTTTCCGCCTGGTTCTAGCTAAATTCCAAGGGACGAAGGAAGGTCAACCTCCCACGGCCGTGGCTTGGGAAGAAAACCGATACCGATAGGTCCCGCGAGGGTACCGCGATAGGTATGTACCGATAGGGAAATGTGAGGACATGTAAGCGAGCTTTGAAATAATATAATATGATACTGAGTGGAGCTTTTCCAGTGACGTTGGTGGGGCAAAGAGTCGTCAAAACCACAATGCCCGACTCAGTTTGTCAACTTGAATAACCCGCGCCCTGCTGGGGGGGGGGGGGGGTGTTTGAACACCCCCCCTTGTGGTTTTTCGCGAATATCTCAAAAACGGCGGCGCGGAGCGCCGCCGTTTTTGGTACACCTTATCATACATCAATTCTACACATGTTGTGAAAATGTCAGACCAAGGTCATTCAAGGTCAGGTCACCAGGTCACTTGAAGTGACCTCACCTCATAAAAAGTTTCGATGTCTGTCATAGCTACACCGAGTGACCGATTGCTTTGAAACTTTCAGCGATTGCTAAGAGCAATAGCATGTACAAAATGTATATCTCAGAATTTTGATATCGATGACCTAAGGTCAGGTCAATTTTGCGACCTCCCCATTATAAGTCAATGGGAGAAAACTGAAATGCGCCTCTTTTGGACGAAAGACATTATAAACACTCCCAAACACTGAATTACAAGTGGTTTAGACACACTGAACATGAAAATGGTGTCCGTGACCCCTGTTTATGCCCTGAGGTCATCTTAGGTCACGAATGGTATCTAACAGTTTTTCGCAAATAACTTTTGATAGAAGCATGCTAGAGCGATGAAAACGCCTTAGATGTGTTCAGCTCGACGATACGGATCGACTGATATGCAACATGACCCTTTCCGGTCAGGTCATGACCTTGACCTGAGGTCAAATTTTCAAGTTGACCTTTCAAGGTCAAGTTATAGTTCATTCGATGCGTCTTGACGAGAGGAACACGATGCCGGTAAAAGTAAGCTCGTACAAGGCTTGGGTCAAAAGTTATTGCAAAAAAACTGTTTCCAAAAAAATCGGCTATTTTTGCAGTTTTTGCCCCCTGCAGGCAAAACCGTTGACGTTAGGTCAAATCTGAGAAAATTACTCAGAAAGGGCGTTAATAGGGCTATCGAATGCGCTTTTCTGCGGCGCTGTAGCTCTATTGGTTCCCGAGTTATGCGTTGGCTTCTTGGAAATTGTCGACATTCGACCTGGAAATCGGCGAAATTTTGCCTTCAATGACCTCTGGTGACCTGACCTTTGACCTGACCAAAAAATTGACCGAAGTGATTTCCTCATTATTTTTGACGCTCTTTCGAACGCCGCCTTCCGCGTATCGCTACGTGGCCCAGGAGCCGAGTTAGAAGGGAGGGGGGTGTTCAAACACCCCCCCCCAGCAGGGCGTGGAAATCCAGGACCCCCAGCCGGGCGCGGGATAAAATGCTAAACTAATTGGTGGGGCAAAGATTCGTCAAACCCACAATGTCCGACTCTGTTTGTCAACTCGAATAAAGTGCTAAAATAAAGAAAAACCTATTATCACAGAGATAATATTTTGCATTACACTGACATTCCAAAGCTCGTCAATGCGAAAATACAAAGTCCTACAGGGTCTTTCATAATGAATGTTACTTTTGAACATTTAGTTAGGAGCTCTTAATTTATCACTTCCGCGTGAATTTTATATGCGTATTGTTGCAAATTGATTAGGGTTTTGTCCCATAAAATAGAAAATTCACAACGCCAATTTTCCTTCACGGAAAAGCAGAGTATGTCGACACCACTAAAACGCATTACGGATTACGGTCGACGGACAAGTCTTCATCCATTGGCTCTCCCCTGGGTCAACACGGAACGGGGTGGCTTACCTCAGGCTGCTCAAGGAATGCTTCTGCCTCAGGTCAGGGAAAAGGTTCAAAGAGACGGCCTGTGGTTCCAGCAGGATGGCGCCACAGTGCACACCACGGCAGCTGTTGCGCCAGTGGCTGATCGAGAATTTCGAAGGGCGCGTTATCAGCCGCCTCACCGACCGACCATGGCCACCACGGAGTCCTGACCTCTCCCCGCTGGACTACTGGTTTTGGGGAGTCGCATTGGCAGATCTGAGACAAAAAACTCCTGCAGCCATCCACTGCGAACCACAGTGGAGAGGTTTGCTGGAAGCCTGGACCCAGACGTTGCGAGGCGCGGGGCGCGACACCTTCGTCAGAGGGCCGAAACCTGTGCCTTAATTAAGGGCGATACAGTGGAAAATTCCTGAGGAGCATTAAAATGAAAGTTGTGTGTGCAAAAACGCTAATGTGTTTCTGTTTCATGTGATGGTACATATTACATGAGGAATATATATGTCCTGAGAAATAGCTCTTTCAAAAGTAACATTCATTATGAAAGACCCTGAATTACGTGTGTAGTTACGTGTGTGAATTACGTGTGTGTGTAGAAACGAGCTAAAGTTGGTGGAGCAAAATGCTTATTGGTGGGACAAAATTGCAAGCTGGTGGGTCAGCCGCCCCACCAACTGTATAGGATGCTCCACCCGGCACCCCTGTTATATGCATTTTTACGTAGTTCTATTTGTTCACGAGTAAGGTATTCTACCGATTCTTTTGTCAAAACTTAAGCAAATATTTAATAGGAAAATTTGACCTTCAAAGACCGTAGCACATTATATAAAATTACTGTATTTTTTCTAAATAATTTCCACAATTTCTTAACTTCTTCACTGCTTGTTGTTACGCGGCCTAGGAGTCGAGCTCAACTCTTCAGAGAACGGAAAACTCAGGCATATAAATGAAAGTATATCACTGTTATGTTTTACGTTTTAAAATCCCAGGGCGTCAGTTCACCAGAATAGTACGGGCGGCGATAGTACTTGCACAAGCGCCAACTCCTTGTCTATTCTGAGTCACCCCGTATCTCGGCGCTCATATTTATATATCCTGGTCGTCTGATATGAGTAATCCGCACGTGAGCCGAGCGGGAGCAGCTGCTCGTCGGTCCGGCAGGAGGGGCGCCGACACGACAATCCCGCCCCGTCGGCGGCGGTGTTTCGCTGCCTGCCAAAGGCGGAGCTGGCGCCGCAGCACACACCTGGATCGCACCGCCGCGCCGGCCGCCAACCCCAGCAACCAGCGATTCCGGGTTTAGCCGTCGCTGGTAAAAATACAGGCGCTCCGTACCGACCGGTCTCACACAGGTCTCCGTCGGTGCTCACCGAAAAATGCTCTTTGTGCTGGGGCAGGCCTTCGATCAGCAAGGCCTTTGTTATGCGTCTTGTATCTTATTATAAGGATAAGTATATATTCTGGCACCAGGGTTTTCAAATATCACCTTTTGCTGGCGCTGTCAAGTCGTGGTTTGCTGAATAAGTGAACGACAGATAAGATGCATCGAAATTATTACAACTTCCGAGTACTTCATACGGGATTCGCGCCAGGTGCGACATTCGCTGGAATGTTTGATGTTTCATTGGCCGTAAGTATTGGTCCCTGTTTTGTTGTTGCAATTGCCCTATATCAAAGAATTTAATATGACAATATTAAAAGAAAGCATTACGTGTAATACTTCAAGCAACATTTATATAAACATCAACCTAACGATTCACGTGAGCTCAGAGCCCGTAGCAAACCGTTGACGCTACCATTTGCTTTGTCGCTCGATCACGCCAGGGTCCTCTGTCAAAATAATCGTCTCAGTCCAAGCCCGGCGGCCGATCGTCCCCAGTGACCCCAGGGATCGGTAGCGCCGGCGGCTCGATAGCGCGGCTGTCTCCACTGACACCTCTCGTCACAACTAGGGCGGACAGAACTGTGCTCTGTTGCACGGCGTCTCTGCAGCAGGCAGCGTCTGCCAGGAGACGGCGGGCGCCGACACCACCGGGCAGCGGCTTAGCTCGCCCGTCCAAGGCCCCTCCGCAGAGAACGGCCAAAAGGTCAAGGTTCATCCTCTGGGTGTCTCCCAGCTTTTGAGATACGGCGCTCCAAACCCTACGAACGCATAGGCTAAATATGCGCGGCACAGGCCTCAAAGTTCACAGGCAAACTATTCAAGAAAAATGTAACATCTTCAGTATTCGCCTCTGACACCACTGGTAAAAACTTTGAACCAGCTCGAGGCCCCTGCGCTGAAAAAGCTATAAAGCGTCACAGCTGGCAGAGGCGGCGGCACCGCGTCCCCTCCCTGCGCCCCGCCGAGGCGGCTGGCGTCGCGTCCCCTCCCTGCGCCCCACCGGGGCGGCTGGCGTCGTGCCTGATAGCGGCACCGTCGCCAGAGCCGTCTGCCCCGGGGCGACAGCGACTCGGCGGCTGGACGGGCCCGGCCCGGCCCGGCCCGGCGGCCCTGGGCCTGGCCGAGTCCGTCCGCCGGCGCTACCGTTAGCAGCCGTGAAAAGGTGGACTGGGCTGGGCTGATATATGTATATGTAACGTGCAGGTTACAGCATTGCCACAAAGCTGGTGGCTCTAGCACTGGAGCCCGGAATGATTTGTGTCCAATAATATGCAGGACCTCTTATTCAAAAATGTTGTTGCTGCCACTCTAACTGTTAGTTTTAGCGTTATATTCATTTTTTCGTGACGCTCCATGCTCAAGTTATCTTTAGAGTTTAGATACATTTGGGCAACAATAAGGTCTAGGATAATGCTACCATTCGAGATAAAACCGCTTCACGTCGATTTCCCTTTCACTAAAAAATGGACCAAACGGAATCGAAAACTCCTTAACACTTAGATTTTTTTCTTAGACACCGTTACTCAAAGTTTAGCTTAAATAAACAGCTGTTCAGGTAAGTATATCTTTTTGTTAAAGAAGAATTTCATATGCGATTTTATAATAATGCAATTCTGATAAGCGCATAGCGCGAATAGGTACTTTGCGATTTCTCCATACATTACCATTGCATTTAAACTCCAGGTTGCATGATAATATCGTTTGAATTCAGATCCACCCCCCCCCCCCCCTCCAAACCAAGGAGTTACCTAGCTCGAATGTTTTCGATGGACATGCCGACGCAGACAGAGCTCGCGCTTTAACTGGCTGCATGGCTCCTGCTACTAACGAAGGCCAACCCAAACCTGTCTTACGGTATAATCCCATGATCCTTGGACCCACTCACCTTTTTAATTGTTTTGAAGACGTTGCAGCGGCACAGCTTGGACTGAATCTCTCCAGAAATGTAGCTGAATACTCGGAAATCCTGAGTGTCATGGGAGACGTAGAAAATTCTGCGAGGAGAAGAGCACACCGTAAGTCATACAATTAATTTGTGTATCGCTAAGCCAATCGACACATATTTTTTGCGTTGTTTTTCGACTTTGCTGTAGAATGTATAACATAACACTCTTATTTATTTTGAACGCAAATATGTGTTAGGACATATGAAATTGGCAATAACCCGTGGGTGAAATATATAGTTACATACTTTTTGCAATTATCTGCTTCTAAAGAATACAAGGAATAGCTAACCCACTTTGATGGAAGATAACAGAAATATGTTCGGTTCGTATATGCTTCCTCGTTTCTTGAGGTGTAGTGCATGCTCCAAGTACGGCTTCTTAGTTCTTACGCACCTAAATTATATCGCAATAGCCTGTGGTTTTGATGCATCGGAGCCATTGAACACAACACACCCACATCAGATAAGATCCCTGGTCACAAGCACTTACCTACATAAAGCAAAAACTTATAAGTCTTTTCTTTCATTCAATTAGCTGAGACCGAAACAGCTTGCGAATGAAATATTTCATCAAAAGAAAAACGTCGTACGTTACTGACATAGTGTTTTCTATTCTAGAATTCCAAGAACCATTCAGCAAAATTAGGTATGATTTCACCAGCACAAATTATCCGTTAGTTTGTCTCGGAATATGTTCATTTGCCTGCCCCTGCTGGCAGACGTCCTGCGGTACATCCGCCGGCACTCTAAGATGCTATCGCCACAGCTGAAATGGCCGCTACGGATGCATAATTCGAGTACGAATAAGACTATGTGAGCCGTTTTCAGATTCTTGGGGATGGCACAACAGTGTACAAACGAAGATAAAAGGAGGTTGAAGTGTTTCATGTTGTTAGATGTAGCTTAGTGTTAAGGAGAACCATAAACTTAGCGTTGGCTTTGAAGTTTGTGTGTGAATAAGCCGAAAATGGCCCATAATGGAGGTGTTTATTCCAGCTTAATATAAAATGACTGCCACGACGAGACCTTGACACTTTGATGTAGTACAATAACTGCAAGCTTCTAGCGATAGCAAGACTATTTCACTCTTGTTTAGTCGTGTCTCAAATTCAATCTTGCAGCGTGGTGTTAAGCCTATCGGCATGCAATGGTATGGTAAAACGATTAGTCTCATTCAATACATCAGAAAACTATATTCAAACATTTGCCTTAGGCATGGTGAATTAGCCAGGAGACCAAGGCGAGTAAAATAGGCTTATATTTTCCGATACCGGTAAACACTGTTTCCTTTTCATGGGAATGTTCTGTCTTTAAAAGTTTAGCAAGTAATTAAGTCCTCTGACATTTATGTCCCGGGTATATATTAGTACCTCCTTTTATGAAAATGTACAGCGGTAAGTTAGAAGTGGGTAATAGTGTTTAAGCACTGTACGCTTCTCTTCAGCTTTACATTGTACAGCCACTAAATGCCATCAAATATTGATATATCACGGAGTGTGGCCGATCACATGGTCAAAAGTTGGCACGTTTTCCTCTCATGTTATCGGCAATAAATGCCATTGGCGGTACGCTAACATGGAGTTCCATACGTTCGGCCACACAAAATTAATAACACCTGAGGCATGGAGCCCTGCCGGTTTACCAGACCGCATGCTGATGACGAGGAGCCGGCCGAATGGGCAGTCCGTCACCCTGATTTGGCCCAGGCAGGCCACTCGCCGGAGTTTTGTTTATCATTCTGTCATGATCGAGTGGGTAGTGAACGCCACAACGCCACGGCGCGCCAGAGCTCGTCACTCAGAGCGTGTCACCCGCAGACAGCCGGCTCTGCCGCCACTCGCCAGACCCGTCCGACCTGTCCGGCACACGCCAGAAAGCAGACTTTGGGCCCAGAAACTGAGTGGTGTAATATGCTCAGGATGAGCCAGTTTTCCGCTTGTGGAATTAGTTTGATGCCGAGATATGTCACCGGGATATCGTGTAACGGAGGATGACAGTTTAGGAAGATCGCTCCTTTAAATAAAAGCTGATAATTTATTAAAGTGAAGCGGAGCCCATGAATAGAGAAGCACTACCAAGCAACATGACCCGTTGAACCCCACGGGCACAGCAGGGCAGTGGCTGAGAATAGTCGCGCCACGGGCGGCCGCGTCTGTCGAGCCGAAAATAGGCCGCCCGCCCGCCGGGCAGGGCCATGTCACTCTGCAGAACGCAACCCTGAAAACGGATGACTTGCAGCGCCGCGGCAGCTCTGCTGACGTCACGCCAGCTTTGTCTGCCAGAGCCGGGCTTTGTGGCGTTTACTCGGCTCGGCGGCTGGCCCACTGACGGCCCAGAGGTGCCCGCTTGGCAGCCAGACCTGACCGGCTTCCACGAACGCTGTTAGAGAGCCGCGCTGCTCGCAGCCAGCCACTCTCACGGCTCCAGGCCAACCCGACAGATGGCCTTAGTCGTCAGTCAGTTAATCGTCAGTCGTCAGTCGAAAATCGTTAGTCGTCAGTCAGTCGTCAGTCATCAGTCATTCAGTCATCCGATTTCAGTCGTCTTCAATTGTCTTCGGTCCGAAAAGAGGTCTCAACCCTTTTAAACCGCGACTAAAGCCCTTGGCCTAACATACTATCTTTTCTGCACTCCTTCTCTTGACCGATAGACGGCCTCGTTCCCAAAATATCAACTCTTTGATCCATCCGACAGATTGCCTTTGCTCTCCTAACTTTCCTGTCGTCCGACTAAAACTATATCCAATGTCTAGCTAAACATCCACACCTCACGAGTCACAAACTATCGCTTGTCCGGTCTAGAAGTGGTCCTCAGTCGGTATGTCTCAATCATGTTACTGGCGGTCTGCACTCTGTTTACTCTACACCATTACATCGTTCTCGCCTTGCTTTATACAAAATGTTACTGTTTTTCCGCTGTAGCTGGTTTTCGGATTTATATTTCTATATAACAGTACATAACACCTATAAATTAAGTGACAAATGAATGGTTTGTGTGGCACTGACCTGTGAATGGGGTGGTGCATGATGAGCGGGCTGGTTTCTAGGGATGGGTGATTCCTCTGGAACGAGTCAGAACCGATATTCATGTTAGACACAAGCACACAATCACACCAGTCGAACGTTCATAAAGATGCTCGGTAACGGTTGGAACAGTGGGTAGTGTGTAAGCCTGTAAGGTAAACACGCAGCACGCGGCTAAGAGGCGGAGCGGTGGCGCCGAGATGGTTTATATCCTCGTCGCTAGATGGCACGAGTAACTGCGCCTGAACACATACTGTGCCGCAGGACACGGACGCTGAGCGCGAGGTAGGTATATTGTGCCGCATGACACGGGCAGTAATACCGGACCACCGGTAGGGATACGAGTGCTGCGCCGCGTGGCACTGGCACGGCAGTGAACGCGGGTATACTGTGCCGCATGGCACGGACAGTGAACACGCAGTAGGTATACATACTGTGCCGCATGGCTTGAATACCAGACATGTTTCGCCGGGAGTATCGCACTATAGGAAGACGAGTTCACTGTTCAACATTTGGCTTGAAGTAAGCAGCAGACTTTGAAATCACTCACCTTCTTTGGTACTTTCATCGTAACTTCGATCCCTGCCGAGCTGACTTTTATAGTAACGAGTTTCTTTTTGATACCCTTGTTTTTGAACTCCAACTGTAAAGGAAAGCGGTGTTTCAATCATATCATTTTTAACAGACATAGTATCCCCTTTATACTGTGGTATTTCCCAGCACCAGCCATAAGAAATAACCCACTGCAGCTAACAATGTCAACAACAATGACATTGATGTAACAATGCAGTAATATCAATGTCATATCATTAGCCTATCAGCCGCACTAGGAACTTATCTTGTTAAAGCTGCTGGAGCGTATGACAAGCATGTAGGAACGTCGCGAAACATAAGTACTCTAATGGCCTGCGCATCAGTCCTGTCACACAGCTTTGACTACCAACTCACCCTGACTTTCCGCATGGCATGTACGATATCCAGCTTACTTCTTGGTGCCGGAATGTTCAGCGAGCCAATGTACTGTCAACAAGATCACATTTAGTCATTTAGTCACACATAGTCAACTCGTGCCCTGTCATTGCCCGCCACTCTCCCTCCGATGCTGCTACGCCAGCCAGATGCTTTTTTATAGGCTTTACCAAAATAAGAATGGATATCACATCTGAGGACTGAATGAACATCTAGCCCGCTCGGCCGGGCCGGGTGATCGGGTACTCTCTTAGTTACCACCCGGACAAGGCTGCCGGCCACGAGGCAGCCGCCGCAGCGCCCACGCGGCGGTGCCCTGTGGACGGCACCGCCGCACGCCGGTAAATATTTAGCGCCGGCCGCCTGCCTAATGGCGCGTGTGTAGCTGACAGGGCTGTTTGGGGAGGCCCCTCGGCCCTCCCTGCCCCTCCCACCGCGCAGACCACCACACAAACAGACCGTATTCGCCGATTTTGTTCCACAAGTCCCGGAGCACGATGTGATTCATTATGTCATTCATCAATTATCATGCATCCGTCACTTTCGTTTTGGACTACGAAAGCGATGCGGGTGAGCTGGCGATGAAAAAGTTCTTATACCTATAATATTACATTAAATTCTTGAACGATCGTAAAAATGTGGCCTTAGAAACGTTAAAAGACAAACAGTGGCCATGTTGCATATAAGTGCATGTATGGCCTACACTTTTGAATTCATTTTAAAAGGGATGAAAACGCAAGTCCCAACGTTTCTTATGTTCCGGGCAAAGGTTGTTGAGAAAAGTGCACAGACATCACTGCAGACGGCGGACGTATAAAAATGTATTTGCTGCAATAAAAAGACCGCCTCGAGGCTTTTCGGTGAGATAACGTTCTGTCAGTATTAACGGTGATGCCATGCCGACCTACCCGTGCCTCAAAGGAGAGCCCCTGCTGGAAGGCCTCCTCCGAGTGTAGCGATATTCGCCCGTCGTCGTTGAAGAAGCCGTACTCCTTGGCGTTGGAGGCCTTGGCCGCCCTTGGCAGGGTGGCCGCCTTTCGCTCCACCATGGCGCTGTATTTTTCGCCGGCGTGCGCCAGCACTTGGCGCACGCGGCTGGCATCTGAGGACGCAGAGACAGGCGAGATGTAGCGCAGCGACCAACACCCGCCGGCTCTGTCGAAACAGCGCACCGGCGCGGCTGCCAGCGCCGCGCCGCGCTCAGATTCAGCGCAACACAGCCGGCGCCGCAGAGCCGAGACACGGCTGAGAGCTGCAGGCTACTCTTACTCACTGGCGGATCCAGGGGGAGGGGGAATTTGGGGCAAATGCCCACCGCAGAGCAAGAAATTGGAGAAATTTCACGTTTTTTTGAAAATAAAAATAAAACGTACCTAATATATATCACGTGTTTTAAACCGCACAGAAGTGCGTCAGGAATCGATATCCGAACTCCGAAGAGTTCTTGGAACTCAATAAACTTTTTTGGGGGGCATGGACCCCGCAGCGCCCAAGGCCAAGACCGCCTTTCTGGATCCGCCAGGGCTTTATGTCGACCTCAGCATTACTGACAGCAACCGCTCAATCAGAATTATTTGCACGAGCATTCAAATTACCGAAGCTGGAGCGTTTCTGGTTGTTACAACAAGTTAAGATCCCTTGAAATAAACATTAGCATTGTCTTCGGTCCTGGGATAAACAACAAACAGTCCGTGACACGAATGACAGACGGAGCGCGTCTGTGACGGAGCGGCCAGATAGCGGCCCAAGATAAACGGAGCCGCTGTACTGACAGCTTCCAATGGACGCACCGACATCGACTGTCACACTGCGGCCCACACCGCCACAAAACAGACACGCGCACCGCCACCCAACAGACCAATTCAGGACGAAGGAGACATAAGAATTAAGAACGAGATTAATATCGCAATAACAGCACAACTAACCAAAATTATAACCAAAAACCAAAATTCGCCTTCAGCAAAATACACTCAGCCCAAAAACTCGCAGCCCTCGCAGCGAGTAAAATCGAAAGTTGACTCAAATCAACTTTTGGAATGCGATGCAAGGTGGCTCGGATGATAAAAACATGCAGACTCGCTTGTTACATGGTGGTGTGGGTCACTCAACGTTAAAAGATAGTATTTAGTTTTAGAGAAACCAGAAAACACAAAAACCTGCAACCGCATGCGAGGTCCAGTGTGGGGCGGCCTTAAATAAATTGAAAGTACCTATTTATTTCGGAGTGTTTCCCTATTCAAGTTGTCTGCGCACAAATGAACGTTTAGGCGAGCAAACAGCATAGCAGCGTTCTAAATTCAAATATAAAACTAAATGTCAGTGCCGGGATGAGTAGTTTCCTTGTCGTTTCTTTGCCTTTTGTTAGGCTGTAGAATAATTTCCTTAACGGCTCCTTACAATTCGGATTTTGATGACAAGTCAAGTGTAAAAAGCATTTTTGGTGACGCCAACAGAAATCAATTAATGGTCTATATCTCTCCTTCTCTTTCTTCTCTCCTTCCCTCCCTTCCTCTCTTCCTCCTTCCCGCCCTCTAGCTCACACTGCCTCCCTCTCTGTCCCTCTCGCTCGCCTTTTTCTATTCCTGTCTTTCCCGTCCCATCCCGTCTTTCCGCGGCGGAGCATGTCCCATTTATTTCGGTGCCTTTAAACGGCCAGGCGCGTCGCCGTCAGCACCGCCGTTCCCGTGTGGCCGCGAGCATGCCCGGCCGTCGGGAGAGGGCACGCTCGGCTGGGCCGGTCCGCCGGCACGGCTGGCGGGCCGGTCGCGCCGCCGCCGGCACCGACAGGGCACCTGGCCGGCTGCCAGCGGCGCCGGCCGGCCGACGGGCGCAGCGGCCGGCGGCGCGACCCCTCACGGCACTCACGGCCGGTGCAGGGCGCGCAGAGACCGGCACACGCCGCGTGAGACGCGTTCTCGTCAGGTCACCAACTGTGGCGTGCCATGGACACCGGGCTCAGTGACTGTGAGGGGGCGGAGGTCACGGGACAGCACGGCGGCGGCGGTGGCGGGCAGCGGCGCGGCCCGCGCGCGGACTCACTTGGCTGCTTCTCGGCGGGGAAGGCGGCGGTGTCGGTCAGCTCCATGGAGTCGGCGTCCGGCTGCCGCGGCCCGGGTCACACGGCGTCCGCGTCTCTCGCCGGCCGGTGCACGCTCACAGACCGGTGGTTTCGCGCCGCCGGCTGGTGGCCGCCACCGGGCCCGCCTGCGCCGAGCGCGCCGCCACTTCTGGCGCGGCTGCGGCGGCTGGCGGCGCGCGGACGGCCCGGCCGCCGGGAGCGACGCTCGACGACGACCGTGGCCGGCGCACACCCATCACGGCACATCAGCCGGCCGGCCGGGCCTGTCAGCCGGCCGGCCTAATGGACGCGCCCTGGACACCGCCCCCGTCCCCCAGTGCGACGGAAATATGTTGAAATCACATCATCCAATACGATCTAATGTGATAATCTAATACGATCAAATTGTGGGTGTATAGTGCATAATGACCCATCCGTCCAGAGAGATTAAATCGGTCAAACAAGTTCAATGCAAAATGAGCAAACACAAAACAGACATCGCCGTAAAAGATTCGCCGTCCATTAAAATTCATCTTACGTATGCCTGGGTCACCGTATAGTAACATGCCCTATTAACATAATTTGTCACTTCGAAAAAAACCACAATGATTCGCGAAACGTAAGTGCGCACATATGTAGGCAGGGGTAAAATACGTTTGGCCCCTCTAATAGAAAAATTAATGCATCAATTATTTTTTGAAGAGTTGAGTAAAAAAATCATTATAAAATCGCTAGATGTAAATCGTTAGTCGTTGTATCTATATTAGGTTGCATTAGGTTTCTCGACTTCAAAATAATTCAACAATTAAAGCTCACGGTTAACGATTTTATGCAGGGTGATTAAAGAGTGACATAAAACTAGAAGTCGCGGGAGGCTCACAAAATATATCTTGACGCATAAACAATAGACAGCTAGGATGATAAATCTGGCGCATTTGACATCACGCAAACGGAAAGGTGACACTTCGTTCGTCCCCAGGGTGTGCTGAAAGTGCCTCCCCTCTCCGCGCAGTTCGAGTTCAATATCGCTTTACCTAGTACAAAGGCATGTATGTACTTTCTACGCATATTGTGAGATCGAGACGGTCACAAAACTAACCTTTGGCGAGGTTGCGAGCCGCCAGGAGCCAACTGAACCCACCGGCTAGCAGCACGCTGCCGACTAAGCCCAAGCGGGCAGTGGACCTCCAACTAACCCAGGAAAAAGAGTCGTCAGCCAAGCCCACGGAGACAGCCATTCGACTAGGCTAGCCCTCCATCAAGCCGCCAACTAAAATCCTGGCGCCCTGGGACTGGCCGACCACGGACCAGCACGGTTGGGACGAATGGCCGGGCTGGGACAGATGACCGGCCGACTGGAGCGAGGGACTGGCGGCCTGGGACGCCGGAGCGGGAGCTGGGGCGAGTGATGTGCCGCGGGACTGGCGCATGGTAGGTTTAGGACCGTGGGGGCCGGGGGGGAGACCAATATGCCTATGAGCCGCCAATCGAAGGCCAGCGGAATTGGAAAGAGAGCAGATGACCCTCGGCTGAATAAAATAAAAAATTCACCTACCGCTGTCACAGCATGGAAGATGGAAATGTAGGTACTAGTTAGACCAATTGCTTGGATAACCAAAAGTTAACGGAGAAACGGAAGAGTCGACTAAATTTAGCCCGCGCCCCGTTGGGGTCTGCCGAGCAACGCGCCCTGCTGGGGGGGGGGGGGGGTGCAATTTGCCCCCCTCCCCTAAGATCTCGAGAACCACGCAACATAGCGACAAGCAGCAAGCGGCCTTAAATACCTTGTGACCCAATTTCATTGACCTAGGTCAAACCGATCACGTCACAGGTCAGGTCAAATATCGAATTTTCACCGTTTACAGGCATTTCAAGAAATGCGTTGTAAAATCGAGTAAAATGCATTTCATTGAAAATCATCGATGGGGTATTGTTCGTCAAACACATATTTTGCTATTTGAGGTCACTGATACCAGGTCAGGTCACAGAGGTCAGGTCACTGAGGGTCACAGACTCACAAATGAAAAAATCATGTGATGCATGTTTTATGGTCCATTTTATATGTCAAATGCGATTATGTGGGTCAGGCAGCCTTTGGGGTCAGTTAAGATTGTGTTCTGGTGAAGGTCAGGTCAAGGTCAGGTCAAGGTCAGGTCAAGGTCAGGTCAAATTAGGTCAAATTTCAAAGTTGACATTTTTGCATAAATTGGGTATCGATTCGATGCAGCTCGTCACGGGGAGTTCAATGGTGGTCTTTGTTTTGCGCTACGTGCTCTAGAATCGCCAAAAGGCAAAAATTGAGTTAAAAAATTTGACGTCATCAATTTTGAACAGTTCTTTTGCTATAACTTGGCCAAAAATAGAGGTATCGCTCTAAAAATTGGTATGTAGATAGAAGAGCGCAGGTACTATCACATCATTTTCCGTTTTTTGAAATGTAAAAAACTTTTGGGATTTTTTTGTTTTTCTAAAAAAAAAAACTTTTTTTATTTTAGGGGGTCAAGATCAAAACACTTTGAAAATCCGAGATAGTAGTTTTGTAGCCACGTCTTTCCTCTACATGACCATATAAAGAACTTTGAAGTTGCTTAGTAACTGTAGCTTTGGTGAGCGTTTCAAGATTTCATGTTTTTTGTTCATTTTTGCTCGAACATGACCTCAATTTGACCTCAATAACTCCTGACCTAAGCCGTTGGTGGGGACGTAGGGGCGCCAGAAGCTGTCACGAGGTCGCCGTGAGACAGTGGCGGATCTACGTTGGGGCAAAATGGGCAATTGCCCCCCCTAAACGGAAAACCTCTGGGCAAACATATCTTTTTGCCCCCCCTAAAAAAACTACAACTTGAATACTAAAAATATTTTGTTTGAAAAGAAAATGTGAAATAAATGGAGGACTAGAAGGTTGTCATATTCGTGATATTAAGTTGTGAGCTGATAAAAAGTCCTCCGCCCCATGAATGTCAGTCCATCATCCATCAGCAGTGCTACTACTGCTACTGCTACCCAAAAAAATAAAAAATAACGCGATTTATTGAAACCTTGAACCAAGTAAACAAACCGTCAACAGCAGACCGCCAGACGCCAGTGGGGTCAGGGGTCACAGGGGTTGAGTGAACGATATGGTTGAGCTACTGCCGCTGTGTCACTCAGTGATGGCCAGAAAGAACGGTATACTGCGTGCCTTTGAGAACAAGTGCGAGATAGGTTTCTGAGAGGAATAACGTAAAGAAGATTACCAATCGCGGCTTTTTCATGAGCCATACCGTTATCTAACGGTTACGGGGACAAACACAGAAAGGCTCAGTCAGAGCTTTTGGTTTGCGAGGTGTTGGAGAAGCTCAGTATGTTGTGGGAACTTAACGCTGTTCAGTGTGATTCCGTTGGCTGTTGCGCTGTGGTCCTATGTAGTCTGTAGAAGCATCGTTTATCTCCTCTCGAAAGTAACACTTATTGGTATAATTTTGCTAGCTCGCGAAGTTTAGTCCCAAAGTTAACCCTATTAGTGGCAGGGGGGTTGTTTTCATCCACCCCTCAGGTTTTTCCGGAATATCTCCGAAACCGCTGAAGCTACGATGCTGAAATTTTCTGACTTTTCCTAAAACTGAATTGGGCACATTCCCTGAAAATTTCAAGTTCATAACTTTACCAGGGGCGGCTCCAGAGCACTGGGAATTGGGGGTCCTATTCGTGAAGCGAGTCATTTGGGCGAAGATCACAATGCTGATGTATTAGGGGAATATTTGTTTCTGGTCCCTAAAAAGCTGTTTCTGGCACCTAATTGCTGATCAGCCCCAAAATGCTTATTCGACCCTAATATCTGAATCTGGCACCTAATTGCTTCCACACAGCCTAAAGTTGCCAGATCGTCTAGTTGAACTCCGTATTTGCTGTTTGCTGATTCAGCACCAAAACCAAAACATCCAGCACCTATTTTATTCCACGTTTGCCTACCTAATTCGCGTAATCTTCCTGATTTTATGTATCCTAACAAACATGAACGGTGCATTCGGTGATGTCAAGTGCCATTTTCGCCAGTGGAGATAATGATTAATGCCATTTCTAGCCAAAAGAGAATCACTAGCCAGCTATGGTGCAGCATAGCAAGACGCTCCTATACCAGCCCGCTATGTAGAGATTATTGCACCCTCAGCCATTTTAGAACGTGAAAAGTTAAGATCCGTCACTTCCAGCCAGGCTCTCAGGTCATAAACTGGAGTAAAGATGTCAACTCTGAACAGACATGCCACGCAACCGGCCCTCTTTTCAATATTATTAGCTTTCTGCAATCATCGTCTGACTCCATCTCGATCAAACGCAGCATCCGGTTTCTACAGGGGCGTTTGACTGACCGGCCACACAATAACCAAAAACAAAATCAAAGCTTCATGCGCACATAAGTAAGAAACGGATGAAAAGGGCACAACCACGGCACAACTCTGCGCGGCAAACAACGGACAATGTCCCACGCAAGATCCCGCGTTTCTTCAGCGGCCTTGAACGGAATGAGAACATTACATTTCTTTTTTGGAGCTATTTGATGACGTCAAAAAATACAATACCCGTTTTAATGGTCAAAATCGAGACAACTACTCACAAAAATGTTTCCCTTTAAGCATTACAAATAAATACTTTTAAATATTTAAATGACATTGTTTTTTCAAACAAATCAATATTATTTACTTACTTAAACGTCATATACAATGCTGAGATCACTACGGGGCTGTCTTAGAGTGTAGCTGCACTGGCAACCTTTAGGCTAGACTCCAGGGGTCATTATACCAGAACAACATGATTCTACCAGCCAGTAGTTCATTTTTCTACTAGATTGGTGCTACGCTCAGCATTTAGGTGCCAGATTCAGAAAAAAGAGTAAGGCGTACCGATGAATAGGTGCCAGAAACAGCTAATTAAGGTCATTTTCCATGATTGGTGCTGGTATCCACCAAATAGGTGCTGAGGACCAATTTTGGGGCGAGTCAGCTTTTAGGTGCCAGAAATAGCTTTTCTGGGACGCAATTAAATGGCGTCCGATGTATTATAACTGTATGCACCAGTTTTACGAACAGTGAATGAAAGGTATCATGTGATAACATATACAAAGTTATTGTGCATCCTCTTTTGACACGTTTTTGCTATAATAGGCGGATCCAGGCGTCCAAAAAGGGGGGTTATTTTTTACCTCCCAACATAGGTGCCCTGACACCGCCTATGCATGACCAATACAATTTTAGTCGTTCTCTCATAAGAAAATTGTAACATAACAAGACCATTGCCACCCTTTTTAGAAACAGTACCTACCAACAAAAACCTTATTTACTATACTTTTGTGTACCCCCAATCTCAATGATCTGTATCCGCCTATGATTTTTGAAAATGCATATTTTTAGGATCCATGTGAATTCCTGGTTCATTCTCTATCGATCGGCAAAAGTTGCGTTAAGATTGGTTCAGAAACCTGGCCGTGATAAACAGTCTAAAATGTATCTGCAGTTTGCCCGTTTTTACCCCCTCTACCCCCTATTGACATTTTTTAATTTTTATTTTTTTAGAAATGTAGATCACGCTGAGCAAAATCGAATGCCGTTTGAATTTTGAAAATCGGCCCGTTAGATCTCGAGATATCAAGGGGGGTCGTAAACAGCCCCCCCCCCTGCCACTAATAGGGGTAGCCAGGAGCCTGCCACTAATAGGGTTAAGGAATGTTCATTGTAATTGCATCAATAAATGCAGGACCGAAAACAAATGCGCTGTTCTTCGTCTATTTCTTGTTGGGATTCTTAATCGACTGATCTCATTTTCTATTACCGGAAACAACTGTAGTGTTAATACGTTTAACTACGTGGCAACCCTGACTGCGTATAGTATCGCAGGTACGCTGATGTGGCCTTTGGTCGTGGGCATTTACACATGAACCTGCTGCTGCGACCCTTATCGGTCTCCGGATACAGAAGCCCTTGAGAACCGGCGCGGGCGGACCTTTCGGACGAGGTCTTGCCGAGGTGATGCGGGAGGTAGAGGACGGACCGTCCATAGCGCCGGTGAGCTATTCTATAACTATCTCCCGGAGTCAGGGTGGCTGCAATTTTTTTTTGCGCTGCCCTGGCTTGGCCGGACTGACAAAAATGTAAAAAATCAAAAAAAAAAATAATTCCCGAAATCCGAGGAGAAAAATAGGGGTAGCTCGCTTTTTTTGTTCCTAAGACTGGACGTTTGAAATTCTCGCCGACTTGCCTGGCGGCGCAATGTTTGCCCCCCCCTAAACTCAAATCCTAGATCCGCCACTGCCGTGAGACCATGAACAGGGGCGCCATTCTCCTACAGAAGGGCGCCGAGTGATTGAAAACGCTATGTGGTCCAGGGGCGCTGAGAGGCCAAAGGGCGCCGAACAGTCGAGGGATGCACGGTTGACAGAGACATAAGGGCGTGAGGCTTTCAGGAATCAGGAGGGCGCCGTTAGACCATGAGAAGGGCGCAGTACTGTCAAAAGGGCGCCATTCTCCCAGAAGGGCGCTGAGTGATTAAAAACGTTATATTATCCAGGAACGCGAGACGGTCAGGAGGACGCCGTTAGAGCATGCGAAGTTCGCAGTCCTCTCGAAAGGACGCTTGTAACAGAAGACTTGTGGGTGCATATTCATTATTGTGGGGGCATATTTCAGGATTGTGGGTGCATCTGCCCCCACAAGAGCTATAAAATTACACCCCTGACGACAGCAGACGTACGGGCTTCGCTGTCGAACCCAGGGTATATAGGTCGAACCAGCAGAGGCAAAATAACGCATAAAAACCAGCGAAGGCCTGGTGCACCACGTCCACCACCCGGGGGGGGGGGGGCAGTGTTTTTATATACCTTGGGTCGGACCCTCCCCCCTACCCCAATCCTGAGACCGTGCAGCGGAGCTCCTGACGATGGGGCCTTTTAGCCCCATTTGGTTACGCTCTCAGACTCAGTTCTTTCATTTATATACCTACATTGTGACTTGCGAGTTCTTTGACTTTGTCAGTCTCACTTACCCAGGTTCAGTCTCCAACTTCCAGCAACTTCCTACCTAGATTGCTTTGGTTTGCTCCCGACAGGTTGTCATCCTGGTTGTCATGAAGATATCGCCGCATTTTAGTGTCAATGACATTTTATTTACAAAAACCTTGAGCGTGGGCGCGTCCGATGGTGATCGTGTTTTTACGAGATGAGCTTCCTACGGATGTTGTATTGACCAATCAAAACAGCAGCTGCGATCGCAGAATAGGTTCTGATGACGTCAATTGGCTTGAAACACACTAGGAAATGCATTAGAGCCAACGCTTAGGAACAGCCTTGACAGCAAATGTGCGTCATTTTGACGTATTTGCTAACTGATTTCTTTTTTCCATGAACACTACATTTGAAGAATATCCCTCGTTTGTGTGAGAAAAGTGACACAGAAAGTAGTTGGAAAGCATTTTGTGATTTTTTTTAGTTTTTGGTGGATGGGCTTGCTTCAGACATGGAAGCAAGAATTTAACTGTGTGTAGTCCCTACCCATTTTCATGTGAGTATTACTTATTAATGTGACTGCTGTTTGAAGCATTCGTTTTCCATCCTGTTGGACTCATTAAAATACCTACAAAAAGCACTGGCATTAGTGGCTGGCAAAAGTGCTCTGCTCATGGCATTACATCTTTACATGAGCAGAGTAAATGTGTATTATAAATGAATGACAATGCAAAGAGCAATAGACATTTTCAGCTTGGTGTGTAGGTAATGTGTATTGCTCGGAGCTCCCTTATTCCGAGTTATAAGTGAAATAAAATTCTCTTATCCTTGCCATTGCCCTTTATTCTTTGACATAACTATAATCCTCTGAAATCCCTGTAAACTCACCTCTAAGCTGGAATGAATATTGATATAGGAAGCATACCATATGATAGATGTATGGGAGGGTAATTTTACCAGTCATAACATTTAAATCTTGGTTTTCCTTTATGGTAGTCTTAAAGTTAGAGTTGCTTAACATCTGAAGGAGTCTTGGTACCCAAAATCCCTTAACATGACCAAGTAAATAACCAAGTATAATGTACATCTGTAGGAGGTGTGCATTTCTCTGCATTTCTTTTGTCTGGGTATGAGAGGTACGTTGTGTTAGAAGTAGCTCATGCTTTATCACAAGAGCTAGAAAATGTGAAATTAGATGGCGACGGGAGAAACAAACAAATTTTTGTACTAGGAACATCATTTTATGTTATCCTGATTTTTATTTATTCTATAGTATAATACAGTTTTAGTTGTCTAGCAACTTATGCATTTTAACATTAAAGTTTCCTGACACTTGGCCATGTCTAAACATGATGACTTTAAGATTCTACCTATAGCAGGGCATACATTTGCACTGGCAGATCCAAAAGTGCCGCTTCAAAATTTTATAAGCTGTTAAAGTGATCAGGAAGCTAAATATTAAGAGTAAAATGGTTTATGAAGGCATCACTTTGGGCAACTGATAAGGATATAGCTGTTGTGATCAACTAGACATTTTCAGCTACAGACATGGACCCAGCCTCATTGAATTTGTTGAAAACAAGATTATGTTATGTTAGGAGTAGACAACACACCTGGATATTATGTGCAAGTGGTCTCCTTAATATGAGAAAAGCTCCTGGTCATTAGGTAGAGTTCAGAAGGCAACAATAAAAGCTGCTAGAATGAGGAACCTTTTGCAGGAGAAGGTTGAAAGATTAGAAATGTTCATGCACAACTTGTAGGCTGTGTGGTGATTTGATGGAAGTATTCAATGTTGAACACAGAGGAAGCACAGGCTAACTGCAAATCATTTCTGAACTAAGTGATTTAACTGGAGGCATGAGTCATTTGCTAAAACATCCAAAAGCACAGTAAAAACATTTTTTATCTGCTCAAAAAATGTATGACATTTCTTCTAAAAACGTTTGGTGGCCTTATATATTGCTAGACAAGACACACAGTTTAAATTATTTCCAGCTCACATATCATAGGCGTTTTTATCAGCATGTGTGCAAGGTTGGTATGAAAAATGATATTGAAAGTTTGTTGGTGGCTTGACTTTGCCTAAGGATATATCAAAATAAAATGTTACTACATCTGTTCCTGATCATGTCAGTTATTTCTTAATTTTGTTGTATTGTGAAGAAATTTCTTAAGCTGCTTTTGTTGACTGGGTGTGAAGGCAATCTATTTAAGAAATTCTTGATTTGCTGTACCTTTCTCTGATATATAAATGGACCATTTTCCCAGAAACTAGACAGCTGTTGACTTGGTGGGTCAATCTGCTAATGGATCAGCATTCAGCAGAGGGATCTCTGTAGTAGGTGCGCCTGAAAGCTGCAATAAGCAAATAAGGGTCAATCCAATGTCAGCATGACCCAAAAGTTCCTAGCTTATAATAGGCTTTGCCAAAATTGGTGTCACTTATCGATGCTGTATTCAATGCTATATATCCTGCAAAATGATGAGCGAGAGGGAGGGTTTTGTTCCAGTCACTTTGTTTCATCTTTCTCATACTGTTGGCCAAGGTCCGTGCTGGTCGCTCACCTCCACGTGTACCGTCCGTGCTCGTGTGCTGCACGCATTGGACGCTCAGCTTTCCGTGTATCCGCCAGTGTTGGTCGCTCACCTCTCCGTGTAATGTGTACCCGCCAGCGCTGGACGCTCACCTCTCCGTGTACCCGCCAGCGCTGGTCGCTCACCTCTCGGCGCGCGCTGCCCACAGCGGAGCGATGCCGTTCCAGAAGCGGCTGGTGGAGCCGACGGACGTGTGCCGCGGCGCGCTGCCGGCCGACACCACGCTGCCCAGTGAGCTCGAGGCCGTCACCAATGGCACGCTCTCGAACGTGGTGCGCCAGCTGTCGTCGCTGTCGCGCCACGCCGAGGACATGTTCGGCGAGCTGTTCCGCGAGGCCGAGCGGCTGGCACACCGCTCCAACGGCCTGCAGCTGCGCATTGACAGTCTGGCCGACCGCGTCACGCGGCTCGATAGTACCGTGGAGGAAGGTGAGTGGACAGCGAGCTGTGTGAACTCTATAACGGAACGGGGTATCGCTCTTTCTGGTCAGTGGGAGGCTGAATGCTTGCCAGTGCTGCGAAGATGCTGATTTGGGCGTTGATGTCCCCTTTGTTTAGAAATGCTCAAGTACTTGACCTTGTATGCTCAAATTGTGTAAACGCAGTGTCTATAAAACGTTTTATAGGTACTGCTTCTTGTCATTGTTATGTATTACACTTGTATCACTAGTATAACACTTGTATCACTAGTAACACACACCTTTTATTGCCCCGCGTGTTCTCCAGGCTTGCACAAGTGCTCTTGACGCTTTCTTCATCCAGGTGTCTGTGCTGGTGCTATTGCTTAATTTGTTCGTGATGCGGGTGACTTTGATGCCGTACGCGGTTGTGTTGCCATCCCCGGCCGCTGTTAACAACCCTCTCTCCGCTCGGCAGTGTCCCTACAGGAGATCCACATGCGCAAGGCGTTCCGGTCGCAGGTGGTCAAGGACCAGGCGGTGTTCAGTCGCGAGAGTATGCCGGCCGCCATGCGCGAGACATACCTGAGCTGCGACCGGCCGCCACCGCTGGACCAGCTCAACTGCTTCAGGTGGGCGCTCACCGCACTACAGCGCGAACTGTCAGGGTGGGAGACGTTGTCCGTGTCACTAAGTGGTTGTAAAATTCTTTCGCTGAGTAGGTACCAAGTGATCTTACGTCAGAAAGGAAAATAGCAAATGCAAATTACGACGAATCTTGTGTGTAGCCTTGTCATTCATAAATACCGACGCTATATTGTGTTTTAACATGCTAAGGTGGCAGGCGCTGTCACGTTTGACGTTTGTCGTAGACATTGTGTATCCTTTTTATCATCGTACGCGGTGGAGCAGAGCAGTTTAAGGACAGCGTGTTTACTTCAGTCTGTCAAAAGCGTTTCAAGTTTTAGGCTATTTTAACATTTTTATGCCATTTTCAGAGAGGATGGAAAGGATGGGCTCAAGTTTTACACAGATCCAAACTATTTTTTCGAGCTATGGAGACAAGACATGTTGAAGGAAAATGACCGTCTCATCAACGAAAAGGGCAAGAAGGTGAGTTTCGGCATGGCAGCAGTTGCGCTTAGATTCCTTTATGGACTGTTTTACACAAACAACTAAGTTGTAGCTCCTTGTATCCGGCTGTGGTAGTTTCCGTTTTTATTGTACGTTATTACGTAAATGGTAAAAGCACAGCTGCTGCAGTAGGTACTCGACCTTTGCCCTACGTAAGGGTTATGTCTTGCCTGATAAAGACATGCACCGGCGGTTGGTCAAAGATTCAGTCTGCGTTCTGATTGGGCGCTGGGAAACTCGCACAACCCCATGGTAATTAATTGACTACTTAATATCTCGCGACCGCCCCCAGCCGCACCGTCCGCGCCACGACGCGTCCTCGGGCGGCGGAGGCGGCGGCAGCGGCGGCGGCCGACACAAGAAGCGGGTCCGTCAGGCCCAGAACACGCGCGAGCGACACCGTCAGATGGCGGAGGAGCACGGCGAATACATCAGTCCGCAGCCGGGCGCCGGCCGACCCAACGGCCGCACATCGCATCCGACGTCACCCACACAGCCGGTGAGACGCGGCCGCCTGGCTGACATTGTGGGGCTGATGGGGATGGCTGGTGAATAGTGAGAACTGAGAGTTGGATGGGTCGATTGGACAATGTCCGTCTAAATCGTTTTGACGTGCTAGAAAATGATTTTTGCCGATATTTGAAATCACCCACTTCAGTTGTGACTTGTGAAACAATTCGATATAGGATCATTCACATATCGTTCAAGTTGTGTATTTCATTATTACGGATTCTATGTCAATTATGATGACATCGAAATGTAACGTTCCGGCAAATAACACCTGTTTGAACTCGTTCTACAGAGGTGTGACGAATGTTCGGTGAGCAGGAGATTCTCTGACACTGACTGTCCGCCATTTGTGTGGTCAGATTCCGTACGAGATGGACTCGCCGTCGGCACACGACTCGCCGCGGCCCATCAGTATCGAGATGCGCCGGCGGCCGTCCAACACGCCTCTCAGTCCGGACAGCGCCGGCTCGCCGGCCGGCCGCGCCGTCAGCCGGGCCGTCTCCAGCCGGCCGTCACAGCCGCCGCCGGCGCCGCCCAGCAACGAGAGCACGCCCAGCCGCGGCCGGCTGCCCAGCGGCCGCGACTCGCTGCCGCCGCCGCCGCCGCCACCGCCGCCCCCAGAGAACGGCGTCGGCGGCTACACGGGCTACGAGCTGCGGCCCGGCTCGCCGGAGCCGCCGCCGCCGCCGTCTCCGCACGACCTGTCGGCCGAGTACCTGCCGCCGCCGCCGGCGGTCCCCGGGCCTGAGGAGCTGCCTCCGCCGCCCCCGCCGCAGCCGCCGCCATCGGCGCACCCGGGCCAGATGGCACCGCCGCAGGCTCCGCCGCCGCCGCCGCCGCCCCCGCCGCCGCCGCCACCACCGCCTCCGCCACCGCCGCCACCGCCGGGCGGCATCGGCGCGCTGGTGAACGGACTGACCAAGACCACCATCACAACTGCTGACGAGAATATCACTAACGGTGGCATGGTAAGTCGCAAATTGAACGTCGAGGCATAGTAGATGGCTGTCAACCATTCTAATGAACTTATGTGTTCCTGTGAACTTCTTAAATGAGCGGCATTCTTTTACCAATTTCTTTCCCATTGATCTTTGATATGCCCTCTATTTGTGATGTTTATAGACATGTCTCCGTTATATTGCGTTGATGTGGCTCTTTTGTACTATCCGTTTTCCAAGTTGTTGACTCGTCCGTCTGGCCGCTGCCGTTCGCTTTATCGCCCCTTTTGTGCCAGCTTCACCATATCCCGCCCAGCGACTTACATGCCCTCCGTGCTCACACAGTCTCCTCTCCCGCTCCTCTCCCAGTGTGCTAGCAGCTCCCTCCACTGGACGTTCCTCCCCACTTCCCTCCCTCCGGCGCACTCTCTTCACCCACCTCTCCGGCCGGACTGACGGCTTCCCCGTAATCTCGTCCCGTTACAGAAGGCTGGCACGCCGCCGTCGCAGGTGACGGCTCCACGCACCAACCTGCTGCCCATGCCGCAGGACGACGCGCGCAGCGATCTGCTCAAGGCCATCCGAGACGGTCAGTGCTATGGAGCAAAGCTATGGAAAATGAATATGTTTTGCCTTTATTCCCCATGCATTTTACATCGTCACAATATTGACATGTGATCCGTTGGAACTACACCGTAAGCCTGTGACTTGACAAAGGCGGTCGAAAGCCGTTGGGTTTGATAGTCGTGATGGCTATCAGACCAGACCTATGATCGGACACGTTCAGTCTTTACGTCTGCCCGGATCCGAGATGCCTTGATGCTATGAAGACTTCAAAACAATTGCTGATAATCGACTGTAATAGGGTGCAAGACCTATTCTGATCTTAAGTTTCTTTCAATGAAAATGAAATCGTCCGAACTTTTAAAGTCACGATAATGTATTAGAGATATCTGGGAAACTGCCTGGGTCACAAAGCGCAAGATTTAGATTCCTACAAGATATTTAAGTGTGTGTGTGTGTGTTTTTTTTTTTTAAGTTTTGTGATAATCAGGGATCAATAAAAAATAGTCTGTCTGGGCAACTTCACCCAGGCCCAGCTCCGTTAGGGAAGGCACAAGTCCATTGTGAGACTTTTCGTCGAGCTGCGAGGCGGTAGATTCTTTTTTATCATCTAAGCTCATTCCCCTCGTTTTTTTAAGCACGGATTTTCTTCAATTGCTATTTGATCATTCAAGGTAGGTACGTTTTTCGGCTACTAGTCGTTTATTGTTTTCGTTTCCGAAAACAATTGTCGTTTATTGTTTGAAACGAAAACAATAAACGACTAGTAGCCGAAAAAACGTACCTACCTTGAATTAAGATGTCTAGTCGTAAAAGCTTGAAACCATATACTATTTGATCATACCTTCCATTTCTCACGAGTGAAGAGCGCTGCGAGTAACGCGTACGACATAAGCAGTTTTTGCGCCTGGTTACTCGCCCTAAGCTGACCGTTCTCTGTATACACAGGTATCAAGCTGCGCAAAGTGGAGGACGTGGAGGAACAGCGGCGCGCGCAGGCGCAGCCGCTGCACGACGTGGCCTCGATCCTGGCGCGCCGCGTCGCCATCGAGGTGGACTCCGACTCGGACTCCGAGTCCGAGTCCGACTCGGACTGGGACGACGAGACGAGCGCTTAGCTGCCGCCGCCGGGCGGAGCGCCGCTCAGAGCACAGTCGCGGGGCGCCGGCGCCGCGGAGACTCCCGGGCCGGCGCCGGCGCCCCGCTCGCCACCGGCGCGGGCGGACGAGAGATTAGGCGCCCCACGGTCCCCGACGATTTAGCCCCACACTCTGTAAAAATGCTTATTTCTGGCGGTCGGGGAGCTGGGCGCCCGATTTGTTTGGAGCTGCCCTAGGTTAGCGGCCGCGCCGGTGAATTCAGTCGATCTGTTCAGCCGAAACGTAGCACTAAGGGGAGCCGGTGACGATGCATGTGACGCTGCTCGCTTGCTTTATGGCGTCGCATGGACGGTCTGGGCACCGGTCGCCGCTCTGTGGATAAAGGTTGTGCTAGTCACCGGTATTTTATGGACGGCGTACCCCATAGGTGTAAGCTTATTGTATATTCGGTGTACGAGCCGGCGCTGCGCGTAGGGGGTAAGCAGGGAGCTAATTTTCGCGACTTTTAACGAGATGCTGAGCTGGCTGCCGCCGGTCGTTTTTCGTTGCGGTGTTGAGAGACTCAGCAATATCGCTCTTCCCTGTCGGCTGATCCCACATCCAACGCCAATATATGTGGGGCCATAATGTATCATATGATTACTTTAATCATGCCTGTACCTATAATTATAATCCAGCGCCAATTGGTTACGGCATGATGCTAGATTCCAACAATAAACTATTATTTTTCCCCAACTCGCAGTGTTTCCCGCTCGCAGTCATTGACTTGTTCACACGAAGATTTCGCGCCGCACAATGGGAGCTCGATTCTCCAACGGAAAAATTGTTTGAGCGATATGGACAAACTCGGATAAGGCACATTTATTGGTTGTGCAAGCGAAGATGTACGCGATTACAAAACACAACAGCACACACGGCGCACTGCTGGCTCGCCACGGCATGGACGGCAGACGCGACACGTTGGCGCTGGCAAATGCCAAATAAGGCTCCCAGCAAAGGATACCGCCGATTCACGAGATTTAAATTGCGGCTGATATGAAATGCACGGGTCAACCAAAATGCGCTAATACGTTCCACTAACTAGTCGCTTAGGAGCCCCTCGGCTCAATTGTGTCAAGTAAAGCATGCATGAAAATCTGCGACACATTTGTGTACCACTAGCGTACCACTAGCAAAGGTCGCCATAAATTAATAACATTAATGTCAATTCCACACTCAGTTGGGACGTTTACTGGTCCCAACACCACATAAAGCTGATTTTACGGTGGTTTGTGTCAACGAGATCACTGACCACAAATGGTCATGCCCGCAATACCGCTAGTGGTAGATTAACCGGGCAAAAGCTGGGTCAGAAATATGAAGCTGAATCACCGCTCTACTCGTCCCCTGACAGCTGATATGTATGACTGACAAGCTGTTCCAGGTCAATTATCACAGAGATAATTTCCTTAGGCATCACGGCACACACGGCACACACGCGATTGTCTGTCGGACCGTTTCAAAGCAGACGACTGTTCGTCACGTCCCCGGGACGGTGTGCTCTCCGCCCCGCTGTCTCACCTTCCCAAGTCCTCGGGCCGCAGCTGGGTCTCGCCCTCGGCGCCGTAGATGCGCCAGGCGCGGTGCAGCAGCGCCACACCCAGCCGGCGCCGCCGCTCGGCCGGCCACGCCTTGGCCGCGCCGTAGTAGTCGCCGCGACGCACGTTGGTCAGGTTGCGCAGACCCAGCGCGTCGATCATGGCCGCCTCACGGGTGAGCGCCTCGGCGTTGGGACGGTGGTGGAACACGCTGAGTACTGCCACGCCGGCGCCGGTCCGCCAGATGGCGCGGATGTGCGCCACCTTGGCGCTGCCCGCCGGGCCGGCCTCGGCGGCCTCGCGCAGGTGGCACAGCGGCCGGCTCTGCTGGCCCTTGCCCACGTAAAACACGGCCGCCGCGAAGGCCGCCAGCGAGAGCTGGGCGCCGGCCGGCCGCCGGCCGGTGACGCGCGGATCCAGCAGCAGGTAGTTGAAGCACGAGCGCCGGGTGACTGCAGCGCCAGTCGGCCCGAACGCGTCCCCCTCGAGTGCCGGTGCCGGCGGCGGCGCGGCGCCGGCCAGAGCGGCATCCAGCTCCGGTGAGAAGTGCGCCGTGCGCGCCTCGAGCCGGGCCAGTCGGCGGCGGTAGAGCTCCACGGTGCTGCTGGTCACCGGGCCCGGGTCGTCGCCGAGCTCGCACAGCCGACGCCGCAGCGCCACCGTCGGCGGCGGGCCGACCGAGCCGCCCTCCTCAGCAGTCATGTACTCCTCGTCGTCCGAGACGAAGTCGGACCAGCGCGACACCACGCTGCCGGCGTCATCGGCGAGCGGCGAGCGCGGAGCGACGCCCCTCCCGCTGTCCTCTGGCAGGGCGCTGAGCTCATGGCCGCCGTAGCCGCCGCTCCGCCCGACCCGCGGCGGCGGCTGCGCCCAGTCCCCGCTGCCGCCGGTGACGGTGCTGTCGGAGGCGGCGCTGTCCCGCCCGTCGGGCCGCCAGGTGACGTCGGACTGGTCGGTCGAGCAGTCGGAGCTGGTGAGCGAGAGGTTGTCGTACAGACGCGCCACGTTCAGCGGCCCGTCAGATAGGGCCAGCGAGGACAGCTCAGCCTCCAGTCCTGTAGGCGCGTCCCCGCGCTCCGCCGGCCGACGAAACATCAGAGGTCGTGTTGCTATCTGTAACAACAGTCACACTGTGCTTGGCAACATCATTACCTCCAAATTGATGTCATCAATCTCTTAATTGAATCTAAGACAGAAACAAAATACACTGTTCACAGCATTGGTGATACAACTGTGATCCCACTGTTCCACTGTTGTAGCTTTTCAAATAACATCTTATCATCTTTGAAAAGTTTAACCTCCATTGCGTCGCAAAATCACTTATGTACAGTCACCAGCAGTTGCTACCCATCACCCTCGGACGGCGGGGGAGCAAGCTACCACCGCCCCTGCGAGACTAGCGCCGCCATGCGCCAAGAAGTGGAAACACCACGTGACTGAGGCCACGTGAGGGCAGGGTCACGTGATGGAGGGGCGGAGCATAGTAGCTTTTGCGCCCGACACTAACTGAAATGCGGCGCTGTGATTGGGCGCCTTAGCATGAATGAAGCCCCGGCGCCAGAATCAGCCGTTCGCCTTATATGGAAAGTGAGCCTTTGCGTTTCACTGTTCTGTATTGGTTTGAGAGCCACGGCACCATACGAATTGTGAGCCCCTTTGAACGGGTCACCGCCCGAGGCACTGAGGCGACGGCTGTGCCGGGCAAAGTCTAGCCTGGTGGGAGAGGTGGGCCAGGGAAAGTGCGATCGAGCAGCCACTGGGACGTGGATTGGTATTATCCAACCGCGACAAACGATGTCAGTAGCCTCTTCTCGTGTCATAGACAGTGTCTATGACACGAAAAGCTAGACAATGTGGACAGTGCCCAATCAAAAGCTACTAGACGATCCAGTTAAGGAGTTGGCAAGGTAGCCAGACCAAATAAAAAGTTTTTAATTCGATTTTGGTTGACAAATGACATACAAGCCCGCTGTGATGGACCAAAAAAGGAGCTGAACAGTTCATACAACTTCTAAAAAGCTCCACGGTTTAAAAATTCAAAAGTTAAATGTTAAAATTCAGCCTGCATGTAACATTATTAAACTCTGGTCCGGCGCTGGCAGGAAGCTTATATTGCCGCTTGCAATTCCACTACGTTGTAATATAACCAATTGTTCTGTGAGAGCAGCAACTGAAAGCCCCGTTGAGGGGGGAGGGCGGCGCAAAACGGTCCCCTCTCTCCTTTTAAGTCGATATCTCCTAAAGTATAGCAAATGTCGGCACCAAACTTTCAAGACCCCTCCGGGCATCATTTTTACACCTTGTGACCAAATGTTTCCAGAGCTCTTATGAAAGGTTAGTCACAAATGACGTCAGAGGGATGCACTGTTTTGTCATTTTCGACCCAATAAAAGGTTTAGCGGGAAGAGCTGTCACGCTACAGTTTTGAAGATAACGAAAAATATTCAAGATCAAAAAGATGTAAAATAAACAGCGCTACCGAACTGCTAACTCTTATCTCTAAACAAAAATTGATTTTGACCATCAAAACTATAGAAGTATAACACCCCGAAAATACCAACAACTTTCAAAATTAAAACTGAAATATATGTTATAGAACTATCTGCTCTAGATATGCCAAACTTAAACTCGATAGCTCCATTTTTAGCAAAGTTATGGCAAGAAAGCTACTCAAAATTTATTACGTAAAATTTTCAAATTCAATTTTTAGCCGTCACAGAACACACAAAGCAAGCCAAAGACTATTGGATTTCCTGTGATGAGTTGCATCGAATAGATACCCCTTTTATGCAAAGTATCAACTTTGAAATTTGACCTTCTTTGACCTGACCTTGACCTGACCTCCACTCACACCGTCTACGGCCGTCTAGCCCACACCATTGATTTTAAATGTAAAATTTGGCCATAAACATGTATCACACACCCTAGCATAGTTGGGTTCATATTGTGACCCTAAGTGACCTGACCTCTGTGAACTGACCTGGCATCAATGACATCTTTAGGCACATATGTATGACAACCAACGCTCCATCGATGTTTTTTTCGATAGCATGCGTTTTATTTGATGTGTTAAC